GATCAGCTGCCCCTTGCACAACCTCTACTGGGGATGTGCCCGCAACCAAGGTACATGCCCTTGACCGGAATCGAACCTGGGACCCTTCAGTCTGTAGGCTGACGCTCTATCCACTGAGCCAAACCAGTTAGGGCCTTCTGGCCCTTTAAATACTGTTCCTCATGTTGTGACCCAACCATAAAATTATTTTCATTGCTACTTCATAACTGTAATGTTGCTACTGTTATGAATCATAATGTAAATATCTGATATGCAGGGTGGTCTTAGGCGACCCCTGTGAAAGGGTCATTCGACCGCCAAAGGGGTCGCGACCCACAGGTTGAGAACCGCTGCTTTAGAAGTAGACTCACTAGGGCGCAGTGAGGGGTTGGACTGGGAAGGAAGGAAGGAAGGGGAAGACTCTAGGATGGCCTGGCCTGAGCAACCAGGAAGATGACAGATGACGGGGCCATGGAGTGATGGGACAGGATGCACCAGGGAGTGATGAGAGCAGCAGAGAGAAATTCTAGGCGATGCACATCTCTGCCAAAGCTGCTAGACACACCTCTGCAGGGCTTGAGAGATGGACAGAACCAGCCTTTCACCTCGAGGACCATGTTCCACGGAAGATCTGTGTAAGACCACTCATGTAAGAGAAGATCCCGGTTCTTCACTATCTCATCAACATTGTTCTGCTCCATCCATCATCGCTTTCTGTGGGGCAGAGGCTTCTGCGTGGTACTTCCAATGTTAATGGAAAACAAGTGAAAGAAGGGAATCAGGAGAGAAGCTTCTCCAGGTGCCTCCTCACCCCCTGGGGGAGGCAGGAGGGATACCCTACCTTCCTCTCTTAGGCTGCTGAGGGAGAGCCAAGAAAACAACGTAAGAAGTTGGGGGGTGTCTGTATGGAAGATGAGGTGGACATTCTACTCTACTCAAGAGGCTTGCCACTGAGATGAAGACGCTCAATTTTGATGCAGCCAATAGAAGAGGAAGGGTTTTCTGAGGTTCTGTAAATATATATATATATACTTTAGAGAGAGAGGAAGGGCTAGAGAGATAGAAACATCAATGATGAGAGAGAATTATTGATTGACTGCCTCCTGCACACCCCCAAATGGGGATTGAGCCCGCAACCCCTGGGCATGTGCCCTGACTGGGTAAAGAACCAGGGACCTCCTGGTTCATGGGTTGATGCCCAACAACTGAGCCATACCAGCTGGGTGAGATTCTTATGTGATCCCAAGAGTTGGGGATCTGGCCTAACAGAGAAGCTGATCTTGGGTTCTGTCCAATGAATTCTGAAGTGGCGAGTCTTACCCAATGTGGAAGGTCAAGCAGAGAAGTTACTGTTGGACAAGCTGTGCTTTCCTTATTGGACTGAACAAGTTGGCCCTGGTTCTAGTGGATGCCAAGAAAGGAATGAGTCTTGTCAATGTGACTGAGCCTGATATTGGCTCACTGCTCTGGAGAGGGGTGCCCGGAAGTACAGGAGGTTGTGGGGCGGATCTCTGGGGCAGTAGGGATCGGGGTGCGAGGAGTTAGCCAGAGAGTGTACTGCCTGCTTCAGGGACTGGGAAGCGTGGGCTTTCCCATGGGAGACTTCTACATGACCCACAGAGAAAACTACAGGGGGCACCTGCCCCACAGGCAGCAATGACGGATGGGTGAGAACAATATTAACGAACGAGGCTCTGGTCCTTTTATGTCTAATTCTGTCTTTTCTGCCAAGATCCTGGGGACATCAACAAGAGAAGATGAGGAAGAAAAATGAACACGCCCTCTCTTCTCCACTGTAGACCCATTAACACCAGTCAGGTCTTAGACTGGATTTAGACTGGATTTTATTTTGAACACCGGCAATGAGTCCTGATTACTGAAATCCGGCTGGCTGCTGTCACTAACAGTGACTGGAGGATCTGCCTTAGAGACTATCGATGAGTGAGCGAGAGAGGCCTGATGACCTTGTTGGAACTCAGTGGCTGGAGAAAAAGAAACCTCTTTCAAAGCAGTAGTTCCATGACGTTTAAGAAGACTTACATGGATCTATTTTTCGCAGCCCCCAATGATACCGAGTTAAAAGTGGATCCCGATATTTATTAGTGATCGATAGGGTATTATTAGAAAAAAGGATTAAAGATAATATAAATCTAATAAGTGAAAAGTTAACGTCAAGCCAAATACATCATTACAATAAAGAAGGGTTGTGCCCATATTTTGTATCTTTTATATAAGAGAATGGATGACACAGTTAACTCATATTATAAAATGTAAAAATCTCAGCTTATAGAACTGATACAGAAATATATGGAAATTGTTTTTATTACCACTTTTTCTTTATTTTGGAAAGATGGTTTTTCTAGATAGATAGATCTCCCAGAACATTTTTTTCTGTCTTATAAGTGGATCTGGAGAGAAAAGGCCAAGAACCACCACATTTTAAGAGCTAATTTAAGATCATGTGTAAAGAGCAATAATACTTTTACACTACACTAAGCCAAAACAAAAATGAAATTAAAAATAAACCAATCAATTTACTCACAAACTATCCACAATATGGCAATTACGAAGTATCGCATTTCCCCCACAACACATCTACTGAACGGTGAATTTGAGACGACCACACGAGGAAGTTTTGAATACCTCCTCCATGACATTGGGCAAGGGGGTCTGGCAACTAGAATCTAGAGACTAGAGTTTGTATTTCTGGATTTTATTTCCAGATTGGAAGCCAACTCTTAGTGACCCATCTGACTGGCTTACCCCTCAGCTCCGCATGCTTGAGTCTACGCACAGGGCGAAGGACCATCTATCCTTCTGGATGCTGGGCAAATGCATGATCTGGACTTGATGTTTTACAACCCTGGGGAGGAAGGGGGTTGGCAGGGATACACTCAGAGCACAGACTGACAGGTAAACCACCTTCGCCTTTAAATCCCCAGTTATTTCTGCCAGTATAATGGCGGGAGCCAGGAAGAAGAAGCAAACCAATCGGAACGGTGGCAGCAGGGTGGCCAGCCTCGCCAGGCGTGTTCCCTGCACACACCACCACGGAAAGCTCGCATGCCAAGCGAGGCTACGTGCAGCCTCTCTCCTGACACCGCACAATTCATCACCGAGCAACTGGGAAGGGAGTTGGAGGACTTCTGCCTAAAGCTTGTTTTCGGTGGTGATGGGCATTGGTCCAAAGAGACCCTAACAATCTAGATCGTTCTCTTTTCCCCTCAGAAGGACCTACTTAGGCCCAAAAGGAGATGAAACTTCGGGAGGTTGGGAGAGAAGCTGGTGATACATTCAAACCCACACTCTTTCCATCTCTCCTCTCCTGCTGCCTCGGCTGCTGCTGCTGCTGCTCCTGCTCCTGCCAGCACATATGCTCTCCACCCCCGTGGAGGACCCCCACTGCCAGTTCTCCATCCACTGCCACCATCGGAGGACTCATGCATCCACCGCATCTGTCTTATGTGGCTCTCCCAGCAACGTCCACCTGTCTGTAAACAGCTCTGGGGGGACTTTGGGACAAGCTGGTGATGGCACGGCACTACCAGCAACGTTCTGGTGGCACCTCGAGCAGAGATGAGACCTCAATAAGCAAGAGACTAAGGAAGGGGAATTAGCGATTCCTCTTGCAAGTCTGCAGACTGAATTGTAATCCTGCAGTTGTGAGGACTGAGTCTGTGTCTCACCAATCAAAACTAGAGTTCCTTTCTTTGGACAATTTCAGCCAAAACTGTCTATGAGACAAGGACTTGAAAAATTTCCTAGGACGGGCACAGAAATGGAAGCAGATAGGGAAGATGTTTAGCTAGTAAAGGAGTTAGAGACATAGCAAGCCGAGCCAGGAAGGCACTTGGAGAAAGATTTAAAAGGGAATCATCAAAATACGAGCAGCAGAAACTCAGAAGCAAAGAAACGTAAAGACTCAAAATGCCCAGCAGTAAGAATCTGTACCCCCGCCTGGATTATTCATCGTCTTCCCAGTGTCTGCTGTGCCCAAGGAAGGACCTAGTGTCATGGTCGACTTCACAGAGTTGAGTGTAGAATTGAATATTGGCATATTGGCTATAGTGCTCAATGACTATTTGCCAAACTGGATTGAATTGTCAATAATCTGTCCCTGACCCTAAAGACCCGTTGCCCGCGTACAGAAAAGGCATGCTGTTGTCGTGGGCTTGCGTTACGGGGGAGAGGGATTTGTCTGGGATAAAAGGAGCAGGCTTCTCGGATGGGGAGGGACTGGAATCCAGTGGCAGAACCCCCTTCTTTAGACGCCTTTAAAAAAGGCTGAACACATGCTCTTGGAAAGCTCCTGACAAAGACTGTCCTGTTTCTGTATCTCCTACAGGAGCTCAGGCTAAGCCAGGCATAAAGGGAGCCCCAAGAGATAGCTGGTGAGCTGAATTGTGTTATGGCCCAGCGGTGGGCCAACCCAGAAAATCACCACTAAGCTACAGTGCACAGGATATCCATATCTACATTTACACATCTAGGTAGATGTACCTAGAAGTTTAATTTTCTTCTTCCTCAAAGAGCCAATCATATCACATATCTATATCTATCCAAAGATATCTAGCTCTACATCTATCTATTCTGGGTGATACTGTTCCATTCATATAATCCCTATATCTATCTATATCAATGTACCTATAGAGGTATAGATATGTGGTACAATTGGATCTTTAAGAAAACAGAAAATTAAATTTCTATCTAATTTTATCTCAGCCTCATCCCCACGAGATATACAGAAACAACTTTAATACTTACATTTAGTGGATTTGGAAATCAGGGAAAGCGAGATTCATTTATTTGCTTGAGTTAATCATGGTCAGCAATCTAGTTGCCAATAGCGCTTATATTCAGTTCAGTATATTATTCCCATGACCACATTGCTTCTTTTAACATGTGGAAGATTTCCATATATTTAACCCCCAAGTGAAAATAATGACAAGTCAGATATAAACAGAGAATCTCAGCATATTAACCGGATAACCTAAGTGTCTATTATTGTTCTCAGTACTCACCGCTACTGTGAAAGCACGCACGGGGGAGATGCTGAACGTGGGGTCCTCCGGCCTCTCCTGGTAGACCACGTGGTAGCGGGAGATGATACCATTGGGAGAGCCTGGCTCCGTCCAGTTCAGCAGCACCGAGTGAGCACCAGTGGCCTGAGCCCAGGGCGCCGGCAGGTCTTGGGGTGGGGCCTCCAGTGTCCGTGCTGAGGTCCACAGACTCTCCACGGAGCCTCCGGAGTTCTGGGCTCTGACCTGGTATTCGTAGAGCGTGAACGGCCTCAGGGTGCCCGCAGCATCGGTAAATCTGAAGGCTCCTTCTGACCAGACAAACACCAGGGCCTCCTCGTCAGAGCCAGCAGGACGTCTGAAAGGGAACCCAGGCGGTTAGGGACAGCTGCACACTTCAAAGCCAGGTGGGCAGACAGAGTAGGACATGGCTTTGTAGGAGATTTTGGTATCAACTCAACTTTTCAACGGTCTCTTCCTCGTGTCATGACGGAAGGAGACCAGATGGAAGAGTTCACCAGAGGCCTGATCAAATGCCATTTTCAAAATATGGTTTAAAGATCCTCCTATATAATAAAAGGCTAATATGCAAATTGTCCCCTTGGGAGTTCGACCAACCGGAAGTTGGACTGCTCACTATGACGTGTGCTGACCACCAGGGGGTGGCATGGAATGAAGGAAGGCCCCAGCTGGCAGTTGGCAGTCAGGGGAAGGAAGGCCCTGATCAGCCCTGATCACCAGCCAGGCCTAGGGACTCTAACCGTGCATGAATTCCATGCACCAGGCCTCTAGTATAAATATATTTGGTTAATCTTAAAAAGTGAAACATTACCCATAATCACATTTTCTTGTATTAACTTCCAGACATTTTTTTTTAAATTACACATGCAAATACAGGGTGTCCCCCCAAAATGTAGACATTACGGACACTGCTTCTGTTTATAATTAAGGATTGATTATAATTAATGATTAATTCCAATGGGTTAAATCTGTGTAGGTTTGCAGGGCCTGGCCTTTGTACTTGAGGCAGATACCAGGTACTCGGGGTGCCACTGGATCCATTCTAATGGGCCACAGGGCTCCCGGCCCAGGTCTCTGCTCATGGAGTATTTTCAAAGGTGTTTGCTAGGAATGTAATACAGCAAGCGAACATACGAACTTCTATGGGGAGATAACATTTTCCATTTTGTCTGGCTTCAACCTTCCTAGGACAATTCAATTAATTTTTTATTAAACTCTTGTGAATTCCCACACTGAGGTGTAGCCATGGTTGTCATAAAATTGACATGCTTAAAAAAAATGGCCTGAGAGTGTGAATTTAAAAAATCTATACTATGTAAGAGATTGAGTATTACGTTAGTCTCAAGTTTTATTCACTGATACAACGAAAGAATGCAGCCTGGTTAAGAATTTCTTGTCACTACTGAATACTTAATAAATTCATATTGTGGTGAGGTAAGTATTTTACCTGTGTGTTAAAAACAGAATATCTTATGTCTGATAAGCTCTGAACAGAAGAGGTTGGACAGGCCACAATTACTCCTAGTTTAGTTAAGATTTGGGCTTCAACTGTTCATTTAACGGGACGTGTTTCCTCTTGAGCTCTCTATGGGGAGAGAAATCACATTTTAAGATCTGAGTAGCCAAATGGCTGTGCTATGCTTAAACGCATTTGGGAGATACTTCAATAATACACTTTTCCAACTAGAGTTCATTTAATCTTGCTTGACACTAAAAGGAAAAACAAAAAAAAGTTTTAAAACTAAGCACTGTGTACTTGAACAGGGAGTCATACTGATGCTGTCTTACTGGAACAGCCTTTACAGAGCTCCCTCCAGCCTGTCAATCACTTAGCCTCCAGGCTATCAGATGGACTGTCGTGGGACCACAGTGCCTGTGTTCGAGTCGCCCTGACTTTACTTAATAGTGACCCCAAAGTGCAAGAGTGATGCTGCCAACTCAGATATGCCCAGGAGAAGCCGTAAAGTGCTCCTGTCAGTGAAAAAGGTGAGGACAGTAAGATAGTTTAAGAGGGAGATTGAGAGAGTCCTCACTGACTAAGTTTTATTACAGTATCTATAATAATAAAAGCATAATATGCTAATTAGACCAGACATCCTTCTGGGCGACCTTCCGGACAAAGGCGGGGCTGCGAGGGAAACCCGAGTCCTGGGTGCCAGAGGGAAGCCGGTGCTGGCAGCCGGGGGAAGGAAGGCCTACTCTTTTTTTATTTTTTTAAATATATATTTTATTGATTTTTTACAGAGAGGAAGGGAGAGGGATAGAGAGTTAGAAACATCAATGAGAGAGAAACATTGATCAGCTGCCTCCTGCACGCCCCCTACTGGGGATGTGCCTGCAACCAAGGTACATGCCCTTGACCAGAATCGAACCTGGGACCCTTCAGTCCGCAGGCCGACGCTCTATCCACTGAGCCAAACCAGGTAGGGCAGGAAGGCCTATTCTTGCACGAATTTCGTGTATTGGGCCTCTAATATTGTTATAGTTGGTCTACTTGATTAGTTATTGCTGTTAATGTCTTACTGTACCAAATTTATAAATTAAACTTTACCATCACTATGTATGTATAGGGGAAAATTTATCATATATAGGGTTTGTGACTATCTGTGGTTTCGGGAATCCACTGGAGGAGGGTGTGTCTTCAAACATATACCCCTTCAATAAAGGGGAACTACTGTATCAAATTAACAGGAAAGCTAAACAGAAGCAACTCCAGTTACAGTCTTGTCCATACCAGGTTACTGTTTTGTTGTTGATTTTTAAAGTCATAAACATCCTATCTCTGTGTTGGGGCAGATACTTAATAGGACGGTATCACTTACAACAGAAGGGAATTACTGCCCTGCCAGTGTGGCACAGTGGTTGAGCATCGACCTATGAGCCCGGAGGTCATGGTTTTATACCTGGTCAGGGCACATGCCCAGGTTGTGGGCTGGATCCCCAGTGTGGGGCGTGCAGGAGGCAGCAGATCAATGATTCTCTCTCATATTGATGTTTCTATCTCTCTCTCCCTCTCCCTTCCTCTCTAAAATCAATAAAAATATACTTTTAAAAAAAGGGAATTACTGAGGAGAAATCATTGGGGGAGGGGGGAAGTTTGCAGAGAACAGAATGACACACGTTTTTAAAATGGGATTGGCAAATTGGTTTCCTACAATTTAATGAAAATATCTGCATAGGCCAAACCCTGACTTTGGGTTGAGCTAAATGGGTTTCCTTCAGTGGGGCGAGAAGACAGAGGAGGCAAAGGATGAAGCAGAAATTGCAAGCCGTAACCTCTCCAGAAATACTGCAGGCTTGTGGCCGTAACTACATAAGGAGCGCTGCGCAGTCCCAGGATGAAAGCACACGCTGTCTATATTCTATTTCTGTCCTTACGGATTCCTGATTCTTTCCGCAGCTGTCTAAGAAAAATGTGATACTGTTGTTGTCTAAGCACATTTAGACTTCGGCTGGGATCACCGCCGAGTGATGCATGCCCATGTAGGTGAATATAGTGATTGTATCTGGCGGCCCGGTGCGCCATTTCCATTTCACTTTAAATAAAAAACAAAATGTATCTGTGTCAGGCAGTGCCCTTCCCCTGTACTCAGAGGCATCACACGGGCCACAATTATGATTGTGGAGTGATTGTGTCACATTGCGGGAAGGTTTATTGCTTTTGAGCCGGCGAGGCAGTAACACATTCCGCTGCATATTACTCTTTAGATCATTGTTTGCCTGTGACGAGAATAATCAAATGCCATCAAACGCTGTCAAATTCAATTTACAGTATTTTTCATCGAAGCGGGGCTTTCCGCATCCCGTTCCCCGTTTTCCTGCTTGGGAGTTGCCGCGGAATAGCCGCCCTGATCACCAGCTTTATTTACAAAAGCGACAGATTGGAGCCGCGTCCCGGTTTAGAGCAGACACTTTATTTCCCTCGATTCAGGATGGAACAGGATGTGGTTCTCTCGTGCAATTAGCATTAAGGGGATGAAAGCAAACCACTCCGAGAGGACGGCCAGCTTAGAGCCCTCACAAAGGTGCTCAGCGTGAAAGCCTTTACAGGTGCCTGTGCATGTGAGTCAGAACTATGACTCCTCAGCCTGGCCAGCCGGCGTGGCTCAGTGGTTGAGCATCAACCTAGGAACCAGGAGGTCACGGTTCGATTCCCGCTCAGGGCACAAGCCCGGGTTGTGGGCTGGATCCCCAGTTGGGGGTGTGCAGGAGGCAGCCGATCCATGATTCTCTCTCATCCTTGATGTTTCTATCTCTCTCCCTCTCCCTTCCTCTCTGAAATCAATAAAAACATACTGAAAAAAGAAATATGATTCTTCAAATTAACCTCTGCTGAGAAGCAACGTGGCTTGCTCATTTTGGGCAATGCCACCTGTACAACCGGAAATGCAGGAATACTTTTTCCCCCATCATCATTTTCTGACAAACACTCAGCGGTCACTGAAGATTGCTCTGAACCAAAGGGGTTCAATGTCTGAGGTGCAGAGGGACCCGAACCACGTTTCATGATGTGACCAGGGCGCTGGCCCACACAAGGGAAGGTGTGAGGCCATTGAAAGGAGAGACTGAAAGATGTTGACTGGGGCTGAGGATCTGAGAAGAAACGTGCTGTGGTCTGATGCCTGCTGTAAGGCCCTGCTTCTGGAAGGGGGTTGTGACTATCTGTGGGTTCTCATCTGCCAATGGTCGATGTCTACTGTCTCTGCCCTGCACACCTCTTCCCTGTCTTAGATGGTGCTACGGCCCCAAAGGTTGTACCCCAGTTCATATGCTGAATTGGAACCCCCAATGTGATGGCGTTAGAAGGTGGAGCCATTTGGGGGTGTCTAGGTCATCAGAGTGGGTGGAGCCCCCATGAATGGGATTAGTGCCCTTATAAAGGGGCCCCGCAGAGCTGCCCAGCTGTTACCACAGGTGAGGACACAGTGAAGTGACTGCCCTCTAGGAACCAGAAGTGGGCGCTCACAAGACACCGAGTTCGCCCATGCCTTGATCCTGGACTCCCCAAGAACTGTGAGCAACGCATGTTTGCTGTCCACGAGCCACCTGGCTACAGTATTTGTTTGTTTGTTTGTTTTCAATATATTTTATTGATTTTTTACAGAGAGGAAGGGAGAGGGATAGAGAGTTAGAAACATCGATGAGAGAGAAACATTGAACAGCTGCCTCCTTCACACCTCCCACTGGAGATGTGCCTGCAACCAAGGTACATGCCCTTGACTGGAATCGAACCTGGGACCTTTCAGTCCGCAGGTGGACGCTCTATCCACTGAGCCAAACCGGTCAGGGCAGTATTTGTGTGTTTTTATAGCGGCCTGAACAAATTAACACAGAGTCAGGTGCTTTGCTCTTGACTCTGTTTTTCTTTTACTTTCTTCCCCACCCCATTCCATGCCTGTCTGTCTGTCTGTCTCTCCCTCTCTCATTCTTTCTCTTCTCCCCTGGATCCATTCATTTCTCCCTCCTTCCCTCCTCATGACTCATTATTTATTTAAAGAAAATATGACTTTAAAGCCATGTCCATGCGATCAGGTGAAGATAAGACTGGAGAGTGTAATAACCCTTCACCCCAAATGCCCGTGGTCTCTATCTCTCTCACATACTCTCCTCCCTCCCTCTTCCTCTCGTCCCCTCACCTCTCTCTTTGCTTTTCTCCTTTCTTTCAGGTGGATACACTCAGTTCTGCACATCCTGCTACAAAGCGGCTGCGTTAACACTGTCTGCCCTCTGAGTGGGAGCCATGCGGGCAGGAACTCGGGGATGAGCCCTCCTCCTGCTCAGGTATGAGGGGCCCCGCTCCCCCTCCACGTGGCAGGTGATGGGGAGCCTTAGACTTCTCCCCCCAGGCCAGTCCCTCCTCTAGGATGGCCCTGTTCGCGGGTCAGGGACCCTGAGAGGACGCTCTGCCCTTCATCAGAGGGAGGGCATGTGGCTCTGAGGTCTCCTCTTTCAGACCCGGCTCAGGCCAAGCTGGCACATGCTGGCTGAGGCTTTTCCCCTCAGATAACGTGTCCACGTTTCCAGCCCCAAGCTTAGTCCCCGGTAGGTGCTGCACAAATCATCAATTCCCACCCCTTCCCTTATGGAAACAGAAAACGTCTAGGTTTCTACAGTCCTGGAATGGCACACGTTCTTAATTAAACACAAGAATGATGATCGATGTTACCTGTGAATGAAGTAGTGGGTGATGACCCCGTTTGGCTTTTTGGGCGGCATCCACGTAACCTCTATGCAAGTGGACCCCAGGGCCCTAAGAACAGGGGGGCTCAGATCCATTGGGGCTGCCTCCGATGTTCTGACCAACGTCCCACTGCTCACTCCACAGCTTCCTTGGGAAAAAAAATCAAGACCTTTAGTAACTTACCAAGCAGGGAAAAGATTTACATATGCATACAAAGGGTAAGGATATCGTGAAAATCATTTTATCTGAACTTTCATATACACATTTCTACACATATTTGAGATGAGTACTGTAAACCGCTATAGAATTTGAATATTTAAATACAGAATCATTTTTGGAAGATTCAGTAATTAATTACCACATCTTTATAGAGGCATAGGCAAGAAAGCTTATGCTCCTCTGAACTGAGGTTCCTCTAGTTCAGTGGTTCTCAACCTTCCTAATGCCGCGACCCTTCAATACAGTTCCTCATGTTGTGGTGACCCCCAACCATAAAATTATTTTTGTTGCTACTTCATAACTGTAATTTTGCTACTGTTATGAATTGTAATGTAAACATCTGATATGCAGGATGTATTTTCATTGTTACAAATTGAACATAATTAAAGCATAGTGATTAATCACAAAACCAATATGTAATTATATATGTGTTTTCCGATGGTCTTAGGCGACCCCTGTGAAAGGGTCGTTCAACCCCCAAAGGGGTCGCGACCCACAGGTTGAGAACCACTGCTCTAGTTCATCATAGTCCTAGCAACAAAGCGATAATGTGTTTAATTTTTTTTTCTTATGCTTAATTTCTTAAGTTGTGACCTACACATCTATGCTCTTAATCATTTTTTGCCAGTATTTTAAAAGAATGACCATCTCTCAACACACAGGAATCAAACAATTAACTTGAAGGATATTGGTTCTTCATAGCCTATATGGAGGGATCCAGAGAGGAGAAGTTGATTTTAATGTAAATCAAGGGAACATTAATGAAAAGCTATTTCCATGTTGATTTGCTGAAGACCACATCGGGGACAGCAATGCCCTTCAAACCGAAAGGCCTTGGTCTGGTTTGCACAGAGAAGTGGGCAAACTGAGTCACACTTTCAGAATGAAAGGAGAGCAAAATCACTGACCCCCTCGTCCTAACCAACTCTATGGCAACTAGTACTCACCTGACGAACAAAATAAACTAACAAAATAGAAACAGACTCATAGGCACAGACAACAGACTGACAGCTGCCCGAGGCGAGGGGGCTGGGGGCTGAATGCAAAAGGGGAAGGGATTAAGCAAAGAAAAACTCAGAGACACAGACAACAGTCTGGTGATTATCAGAGGGAAAGGGGGTGAGGAAGTAGAAGAGGCTAAAGGGGGAATAACTGGTGATGGAAGGAGACCTGACTTGGGGTGGGTAGCACACAATGCAATGTACAGATGATGTTATAGAATTGTACAACTGAAACATACAATCGTATTAACCAAAGTCACTGCGGTAAATTAAAAAACAAGACAAAACAAAAATGAAAACAAAACCAAAAACCAGAAGTTCTGCCCTAACCTGCTTGGCTCAGTGACAGAGCATTGGCCTCGGGATTGAAGGGTTCCCGGTTCGATTCCGGTCAACGGCACATGCCCTGGTTGTGCAAGAGGCAGCCAATCAATGAGTCTCTCTCATCATTGATGCTTCTCTCTCTCTATCCCTCTCCCATCCTCTTTGAAATAAATAAAATATATTTAAAACAAACAAAAAAATCCCAGAAGTTCCTATGGGACATGTAACAGTCTTATATTCAACATTTCTTTAACCTAAGATGAAGTACACCAATATGAGTTCCATTTTTCCTTTTCTTAGCAATTGGGTGTTATATAATATAGAACATTTAAGCGTGAGAGAGGCAGATGACTTCACTGACCACTAGTCTAAGCCACGCAACTCAAGGTGACAGGTTATGTACATAAGATAGGGGTCAGGGAAGGGCCTTAAAATATCTACGATTCATTTGAGTGTAACTCAACTTCTAAATAATGCCCCCTTTCCCACCAGCCCCTCCCGAATAAAATTTAAACAGAACCAAGGTGACCACATTGCCCATGCGATGTTTGTAATACCCGACTTGTCTTATAACTACCAGCGATCCCTCTGTGCGGTGCAGGTGTTTTTCCTTTCAAGGGCCTGATAAAACAAGACTTTGCAAAACCACTCTTTTAATTCTATATTTAAATATTCATGATTTAATGTGCAGAAATGCATAATGCTCCACTCAATACCAGGCGCTGATTTTTCTGGGTAAATAGCTCAGGACAAATGAGAAATGAAATGTTAGCCTTTGTATTTGAATTGAGAATCTATCCCTTCTTTTTTTTAATATATAAAATCTTTTTTTTTTATAATAGCCCAGAACAAGTGTCTGAAAGACATTCACCATTTTGACACGCTTGTATCCTTATCTCATACGTTGTAAATGGAGCCAAATTTCCCAGCAGGACGGACTGACGCTGACCCACAGCGGAGGTGACAGGTGCCACGCTGCCAGCACTGAGTAGGACACTGTACTCCACGGGCATCTGGGGGATCAGTATCCCTTGAGAGAGAGAGAGAGAAAAAAACACACACACATGTGTACGCTGTACAGAATGGTCAACAAATATCTCTTAAGAACAACATATATTTAAACTTTTATAACATAAAGGCATATTACTGCTTAATATAGCAATTAATAACGGCATGCAACGTAAACTGGGAAACGCTAGAATGCATATTCCAAAGTAAGAAATGAGCATCACCATTTAAAAAAACAAACGAAGTATAATAGTTCTTTTCAGAGAGATACTCTACAGGCAAATAAATACAAAGCGCATTTCACCTCTTAAAAAGTACAAGGCAATTAGAAATGGTGTCATAGGCTTTTCCTAGGCTTACTCTTTTTTTTCCTCTCGTTTTTTTTTTTAAATATATTTTATTGATATTTTACAGAGAGGAAGGGAGAGGGATAGAGAGTTAGAAACATTGATGAGAGAGAAACATCGATCAGCTGCCTCCTGCATGCCCCCGACTGGGGATGTGCCCGCAACCAAGGTATATGCCCCCGACCGGAATCGAACCTGTGACCCTTCAGTCCGCAGGTCGACGCTCTATCTACTGAGCCAAGTCGGTTAGGGCTCTTAGGCTTACTCCTAAGATATATATATATATATCCCCACCAGTTTCGCTTGTGACAATAATTTTTCTGTAGGCATTGTGTACACATCCAGTCTGACACAGATCTTTGACATAATAGCCCATAAAGTATCCAAATCAGAGCCTACCTAGAGAATCCCCAGTGCATTAATTATGGAGTCAGGACAGTCCACTCTGTCAGTGAGACTTTCGGGTCTGAATACATATGAAATTTGGGTTTGAAAACTGTCATTTTTCACAATACATCCCACCGACAGGAGGTCTTGTCATGTGAGCCTCTTCACAATGCAGTCATATGATTGAATGTCTGTAAGCTTTACTGGATCACGCTCAACATACACGCTGGCTTAAGGGGAGGAATGGGCCTTGAATGAGGAACAGAGTAAGTTTTCCCACGAAGTTTTCTCGCTGATCTGACGATCATCACGTTTACGGGTTTAATGATTCACCTTTGTGGTACCTAAGTTTAACGTTGTCGTAGACACAATGAAATCTACGGCACAGGATTCAACCCCCGGGGTCTGAAGACCGCAATGTGGTTTTGCTTCTGGCCGCTATAGCCTCAGTACACAAAGGGCACAAGAGCTGCTACAAACCAGAGCTGCGCGGGGATTTGTGAAACAGATAAAAATAGGAGTCTCTGACGGAAACACTGATCACAGGCAAAGGACTGGTCACTTGCTTCCTTTGGAAAAGTGCTGGACTGTGCTGCACCGAGACAGAGATTTTCCACTTTAAATGCAGAACCTCCTTGTTAAACCACCTTTTACATTTTAATCCTCACCCGAGGGTATTTTTCCACTGATTTTAGAGAGAGTGGAAGAGAGAGGGAAAGACAGAGAGGAACATCAATGTGAGAGAAACACATCGACTGGCTGCCTCCTACACATGCCCTGACCAGGGCCTGGGCTAGGGAGGAGCCTGCAACTGAGGTACGTGCCCTTGACCGAAATCGAACCTGGAACCCTATGGACGCTCTATCCACTGAGCAAACTGGCTAGGGCTCTTGTACATTTTACATGTAAAGCTTCCTGCACACCCACTACTGGGGATCGAGCCTGCAACCAGGGCAGGGAATCTAACCAGCGACCTCCTGGTGCACTTGACGATGCCAAACCCACTGAGCACCACTGGCCGGGCAAGGCACAGTCCTGATCTAGGTTTAAACACGGCTAGCCAAAGCACCAACCTGCAAAGACACTTCTCACATCTTGGCTAATCAAAAGCAAATGTCCTTTGCGCCCACCGAGGAGGGGCGGAGGCAGAAAATGCCGCTGGGCGCTGCAAGCCTGTCAAACACTGACATGCGTGCAGGAAGGAGGCCCCTCCACTGTCACAACCTCCAAGACGGTGACATGACAGCCCCCTGTGTCCCCGCCAAGCCCGTGCCATCTGCAAGGAGTCTGAGCCGGCCCGGCCCCCTGGTATTCCGCTGGCTAACTGGGATGAAGTGGGCATGTTTGTGAGAGTCAGCTGGGAAGCCCCGAGACCGGGTTGGCCCCCGAGTTCCTGCATTTATGTCAGCCCGGGAGGAGCAGTGGAAACCCGAGTGAGCCAATTTCCCCTAAGTGCAAATGGCAGCTGCGTGATTCCGTGTCAAAGCTACCCGGCGCCCGGTGACAGGCTGCCGCAGCCCATTTCCCCGCTCGCTAAAGAACAAGGGGCCCGGTGCTTAATATTCCGTGCAGGGCCCCCTTTCATAATTTACAACAACTAGATGCTGATAGGTTATTTAACATTTATGAAGTTAAGATGTAATCAGAAAAACCCTGATTACCTTTACAAATACAAAAGTTAAATTATTCCACTTTTCTCTCTCTCTGTGGTTTCATTTCACAGCAGGTGCGTACTTTACAATGGGACGAGTCAATCAATCTTTAAAAAATATATGTATTTTTTAGGAGCTGGAGCAGGAACAATTCTAACAGGGAAACTATTAATTCAGCTTGATAGCCTCATTCGCTTCAAAATGTCGGTTGCACTTAACATACTACTTTTAAGAAATCAGCCTAAATTCTCCTTGGTCCAGGTAGGAATAGCGTGGCTATGTCCTTTTGGGGGTGTGAAAGGGAAACACACATCCATAGTTTGAATGATAGTTGTCACCTTATGCACTCTATCCTATTACATGGCAGCGTTCCTGGCAGAAGCGACAATGTCTCACAGTGTCCAGAATCACGCCTTCCCCGTGGGTGGGGCTCAGGAAAGATTCTCATGTCAGTGACAATGGATGGATGAATTAATCCATCCAAAGGCAAATGAACTGCATCCATGAAGATGAAGCTACAAGCGCAGTGACCCTGCTGGGTTGCTGGTGAACGACCCTTGAGCTACTTTGCCCTCATTCATATGTGCCATACCTACAGCAAAGTTTGTGAGCTTTTGATCTGTATCAGAGTAGAATGCAGAGAGAATCATTTACTCCCCGCACTGTTTACACTGACAAATAGTGAGAAAATATAGCACAGTGGTCGTGACCACAGAATTTGGAGTCAGACTCGCTGTGATTCGGCTCTGACACCGATGTGACGAACCAAGAAAAATAGCTCATCACATCTACACTGACTTTCCTCATTAGTAATGTAGGGAAGACCATAGGCCGCTACAAGATGCACTGAGCATTAACTGAAATATGTGTTAATCTTGTACAAAAATGCCCAGTACATATTAGAACTCAATAAAGTAAGATACATTTAGTTAAACACCCAAAGCAAAGGCAACAAAAGCAAACAAGTGGGACTACAGCAAACTAAAAAGCTTCTGTACAGTAAAGGAAACCACCAACAAAATGAAAAGGCAGACTATGAAATAGGAGAAAATACATATAAGCTACATACATGATAAAGGGTTAAATATCCAAGTATACAAGGAATTCATACAACTCAATAGCAAAAAACAAAAAACAGCAGCAAACAAACAAACAAATAAAAATAATTCAATTTAAAAAATGAATAAAGGACATGAAGAAACATTTTTCAAAAAAAGATACACAAATGGAAGGGTGCGATCCTTCAATTATAAGATGAATAAGGTCTGAGGATCTAATGCATAACACGGTCACTATATTTGAAAACACTGTGTTCTATAATTGGAATTTGCTAAAAGAGAACTTAAGTGTTCTAATAAAAATATGCAAATAAACCAAAAATCATTAATATAAGTTCTACATTTCCTGAAACGGTTACTTGGTTATAAGAAAAGTGAAACACTTGCCAATGTTGAATCATCCCATTTAATGCAACATGGATTCTTAGAAATCTGAATGCCCATTTTCCCTTTAAGTGGACAGTATCTGATCTAATACCTAGTACACTGCAGTCGATGATCTAACACAGTGGTCGGCAAACTCATTAGTCAACAGAGCCAAATATCAACACTACAACGATTGAAATTTCTTTTGAGAGCCAAATTTTTTAAACTTAAACTATATAGGTAGGTACATTGTTATTAACTTAATTAGGGTACTCCTAAGGCTTAGGAAGAGCCACACTCAAGGGGCCAAAGAGCCACATGTGGCTTGCGAGCCACAGTTTGCCGACCACGGAGAACGCCAAGTGGTCCAGTATCTACAGAAAGGCCACACTGTGGCTAGCTACCCTTTAATCAAAACTTGATTAATAAAAAACATTTATATTCCTAAGCAATACTAATTGAAATTTCTCAGTGGAAGAATTGTTGCCAATTCTTTTCTTTAATGGACTCAGCGATACATGTGGAAGGAAAAGCACAAGTATTCTGACATTATGCGTTAAGCCTAAATAACTCACCATCTTTAGGGAGAAAAAGTGCCTGCTACATGCGATGACATTGTTAATTAGAACATGATTAGGGCTAGCAGAGTTCAAAATACAGTCATCACCTTGATAAATGAGAAAGGCTCATCACTGCATCCAGAGCTTAAATAATTTTGCATGTTTAGATTCTCAAACAGCAGGGAGATCTGTCTCTATTATTCTGAGCAAACCATTTGTGTATCATGAAGCAATTTGCTTCATTTTCTATACATTTTCACCCACTAAGGTAGCGTGGGTCCTCTGGTCTCTTTCATATCAATGTGCGAGTCCTGACCCCAAGGTTCAGAGCTGGTGAGAGGTGGGAAGACATGTTTGGGAATAAACCAACCTGGTCTACATCGTCTATAGATTTGAATAGTAATGGCCAGCATGGACCCAGTGCCTACTAGATGTTTTGCAATGCTGTCTCGCTGACTTCACAGAGTAGCAATGCAGAGCAGGCATTTCATCTCTTTTTCACAGAAAGAAATATCAAGACATTTGTAAACTGAAAACCCACTTAATTGCCTAGGTATTTCTCTATAGCCAACCAACCACCTTGACTTTGTTCTCTGAGCATGTGTGAGGTCCCTCAGTCCATACAGACCCAAAATCAAAATACAGGTAAAAAAACCCACCCAGTTAATTTTCCCACTATTTTCACTTTGGGCATTCAAAGGACACTGGTTTGATTTCTGTTTTCGGAGAATTAGTTTTACTGGACGTGGGTGATTCATAGTCCCTAATCTTGTGGGACCTTTAAGAAAGGTTTAGCTTCCTCGATTCCATCTAAGAACTTCTTTTAAAAATATTTTTCTTGATTTCAGAGAAGAAGGGAGAGGGAGAGAGAGAGACAGAAACATCAACGATGAGAGAGAATCATTGACTGGCTGCCTCCTACACACTCCCTACTGGGGATCGAGCCCACGACCGGGGCATGTGCCCTTGACCGGGAATCGAACCGTGACCTCCTGACTCATAGGTCGATGCTCAACCACTGAGCCATGCCAATTGGGCTCTCCAGGAGATTCGTACTCAGTATTTCCAGGTGATTCTTATGCTCATTCAGGCTGAGTAATTCCAGGTAGGGATGGCTGTGCCTATCTCTCAGCTCTGCCTATGATGTAATACCTTGTAATGGCAGGAGGCTCTGATCTATACCCAGAGAGCTCCTGATTGTGAGCAAATAAACAGTTCCCAGTCATTACAGGGTTGTTTTCTTCCTGTTTAAAATATATATTTGTGAGAATCCAGGAACAGAAAAATATTTTTATTATCCCAATCAAAACACAGCATGAGGTACTTCCCAATAAAATCAACTGCAGATTATACACGAGTCAAAATCACCTGCCTGTTTACTGAGTTCGAAATCCTTCTAGGCACCGGGAAAAGAGTGTAATTTAAGATTTTAATCTTTCCATATATTACAGGGTTTCTGTAATGGATTTTGTGCATCTGAAACTAAAAGATTGACAGGTCTGGATATTATAGATTTATTAACCATTGGTTACACGGGCAGAGTTAGTGTGTAAACCTTTTCTGCAATAGCTCCAGGGCTGGGTTGGAATGAGCAATTTCTGCAGAGCTTGTGGTAGACAAGAGTTAAGATTCTATTAAAGAAGCAAAAGATGTATTATATGTCACAATGATCCCTTTCTAAATGGAAACATTTTTCATTAAACGCAGATGTAGGATGTTGAACTCAAACAAAAAATGGCAAAATACGGGGAAATATGAAAGAATTCTTAAAAATGGACTAACCCCATCCTGCTGTTTCATAGTCATGATGGGGGCCTTGGGACCTAGCAAATATTGGAGCAAATACATTTTTAAAAAGTAACTAAAGGCAAAAATAATTATTTGAAAATCACTGTCACTAACTAGAATTTTCCAAACCAGATAATGCCAATTATATATATTACCTCATTCCGTCTTTATAACGACTCTGTACATGCAGGAACTGCCGTTTTCTCCATTTTACAGATGGGGTGACAGACCGAGAGAAAAAATGGCTGTTTGAGGTCAGCTAATAGGTGGCATCGCTGGGATCTGAATCCTCATTTCCTCATCCACCCCACTCTGGGTGTCTTAAAAGAAAGAGGTTTCCAAATCCTTACTAAGTGGGAAGTCTTCAGATGACCAATGGCCACTTATGCGTGTGATAATGTTAAAAGCGCAGGTGACGTGTGAACCAGGGACCTCCCTGGTCACGTGTCTCTCTGAGAGTCTGGTTGGTAGAGGACCCTGGTCTGAGTCTGAGAACCCGCCAGTCAATAGGGCGGATCTGGTGCCAGACGGGCTCTGTTCGGCCTCATTTTACTCTGTGACACGAAAACACGATGGAACTATCAAAATGCCAAGGAGCAATATGCCGAAGGTCCCGAAGGTCGCAAGCCAGCGCTGCTATTCCGAGAAACTAGAAATCAGTGCAGTGATATACGTGTGAAGCAGCAGACATTTTTAGGCCCTGGTACTTGAAATAAAGTACTGCTTTGATAGAATAACATATATCCGGGTATCTATATATCTCTGTATCTAGCTATATGTAGGCATGCATATGTAACTTAAACATGCAAACCTGCAAAAGTACGGCTTGGATTATTTTGTTTATATTATTCAGGAAACATGATTTCCTAAATTCACATACATAAAATCCTTACTTGCAATGAATGTCCTCTAAAATGTTTCTCTCTCTCTCTCTCTCTCTCTCTCTCTCTCTCTCTCTCTCTCACACACACACACACACACACACACACACACTATTTATTTACCTGGTGGGGTCCAGGCTATGAATATGGAGTAAGGCCCAATCACAGTGATATTGTACGGAGCATGGATTTCCTTTGGTGTCAGGAGAGGTGTTTGTACAAGGTACTCGTCACTAAAACTACTGCCGCCTCCAGTTGTGGCTTCCAACTTGTAAATGTATCTAAATCAGAAAACAAAACATGCTGTAAGGCAAAGCACGAGAGGACTGAACAAGAGTTGCTGGTTTTCCTACCCACGGCTTAGTCCTAAATTTGTGGCAACCTGCGAACTCCTTGTTCCCTGCTTAGAAACTGCGCCACAGACTAGGTAGTTTGTCTAGCACGGGCAGGATTGCCTGCAGGTAATCACTATTTCTGTCCCTCCCCACTTTATTTTAATATATTTTTATTGATTTCAGAGAGGGAGGGAGAGGGATAGAGAAATAGAAACATCAGTGATGAGAATCATCGATTGGCTGCTTCCTGCATGTCCCACACTGGGGATCAAGCCTGCAACCTGGGCATGTGCCCTGACCTGGAATGGAACTGTGTCCTCCTGGTTCATAGGCTGACACTTAACCACTGGGCCACTTTATTTTTAACCCTCTAGCAATCCATGGCTTTTCTTCAAGATTTCAGGAGCACCTTGGAGTGTGCTAGTACACTGTGGAGGATTCCAATTAATCTTCCCCATTTTTAAATGGGTTAGAGTTCAGGGAAATATGTTTAGAGGAAGATGTTTCTAAATTGATCTGCCATTCTCTACAATAAAACTAAATTGATCTTTATTCTCTGCAATAGAACATCTGTTGATCTAAAATATATCTTGTCTCTGCTGAGAAATGAATTGCAAATAGTGGATTTCCCCCCTAAAACCACCCAGGTCTATAGAGAGTGTAGCAAGCAGAGAAAACATTGTATCAGAAGAAAAGGTAGTTGACCTAAAACAAAACTCTTTAAATTTCTTTTAGTGCTAGTTTAGGAATGCATAATTTGAAGATATGATCATTTTTAAAGTTTAATACTTTGTGTTTTTTATCTACTTAAAAATTCTCATGCTTTCAAATCATCTAGAAGATTTTTAAGAAATTTCGTGTATCCTGAAGACTAACATAATGAGCTAGCTCTTGGATCATTGACATCTGAAATGGATTCAATGATCTCATCAGCTATTCAATGGCGAATGAATGAGGAGATTAACTAATTAATTGAATATTGTTTCAGTGGGAGATACACTCTTTTCAACCCTGAAAAATCTAAAACTCTGTTTGATTGGTAAAGTTTTCTCTTAGTTTACCTGCTGTTGGGCGCCAGGTTATGATCAGTGAAATGCTGGTCCTCACTGCCCCCCAGGAAAACTGAGGTCCCATTCCGAATCAGCTGATACCGAGAAATGAGGCCGTTGGGCCTTTCCGGCGGCCTCCAGTATAATTCCACGGCTGTAGCATTGATGATAATGTGTCGAGGTGTCGCCCACACGCCTGGCAAAAACAACACAATGAGGGTTCAGTGTTAGGATACAATACACATCTCATCAATGCCATAGCATATTCGGATGCTCTTATCTGTTGATAAAACAAATCTCATGGCAAATGAGAAGATATTTTTATTTTGGAGGTGAAATACATAATTGGAGATATATATATATTTTATTTTTGAATTGCCCTTAAGAAGTGAATGTCATCCAAGTAGGGATGGGAAACTTCTCTGACGTGGCTGTTACTCTGAATGTAATCAAGACCTGAGGGAATATGTGAAAGCAACATAAGCTAGTATTTACCTGAATTACCCACGTCACCAAATAAGCCTCCTTTCTCTTTGCCTCTCTGACGCCATGTGCTGTTTCTTTTCCTCCTTTCTCTCAGCCACTCCCTCCAGCCCCACAGGTTCCGTTTCCCCTACTGAACCGCAAAGTGGCTTAGTCCTCAGAGACCTAGGTCATCGCCTTTCCTCTTCCCTCCCTTCCTCTCATTTTTTCTCCCCTTTCCCCAAACTCACTTTCTACGTGATCTCCACGCAGTCTCCGTTTTCTGGATCATCTGCATGCTGAACACGCCCAAGTGCCAATCACGAGGCTGAAACTCTTTCCCCAGCTTCAGTCTCATGAATCTAACTGTCTACTTGACACCTCCATTTGGATGACTAATTACACATAGAAAACTTCAAACATCCAAAACGGAACTCCGGGTTTTCCTGTCTACAATCTGCTCATTTCCCGATGTTGTCCGTCTATTGGGCCAAAAAATTTATTCTAGAGGCTTTCACTTTTCCCACCCTCAAATGCAATCTATCATCAAGTCTTACAGGTTATCTACCCTGAATGCATATCGTTCTCTATATTTTTACTGCCATATTTCATTTTAATATTTATAAAAGTGCATTCTCCCTCTCTCTCTCTATAGGCATATATATACATATATATAAATATATGTGTATATATATGTATGTATATATGCATGCCAATGCAATCATTTTAAAAAATAGATTTTTATAGATTTCAAGAGTAAAGGAAAGAGATAAAAACATCGATGATGCTGAAACCGGTTTGGCTCAGTGGATAGAGCGTCAGCCTGCGGACTGAAAGGTCCCAGGTTCGATTCCGGTCAAGGGCATGTACCTGGGTTGCGGGCACATCCCCAGTGGGAGATGTGCAGGAGGGAGCTGATCGATGTTTCTCTCCCATCGATGTTTCTAACTATCTCTCTCCCTTCCTCTCCGTAAAAAATCAATAAAATATAAAAAACAAACAAAAAAACATCAATGATGAGAGAGAATCACTGATCAGCTGCCTCCTGCACAACCCCCACTGGGGATCGAGCCCACAACCCGGGCATGTGGCCTGACTGGGAGTCGAACCATGACCTCCTGGTTCATAGGTCAACACTCAACCACTGAGCCATGCCAGTCAGGCCAATGCAATCTTTATAAAATATATAACCCTTTTAAAATGACTCACATAATTTCAACTCCTTATGCTAGCCTGGGTGGCCCTACATTTTTCTGGCTCTGGCCTACCAGGCACTCTTCTCTCCATCCACAAAAGACTCCTTTATCCCCAGACGTTTCCAGTTCTTTCCCACCTCTGGGCTTCTGCACTTCCATTCCCTCTGCCGGGAACACTTTGCTCATGACACCGTGATATTTTTGCATTTGAACTTCACAGTTCAACAATGTGTGTAAATATTCCCTTGTCAGGGAGGTCTTGATTAACCCCCCTTCCCTAACTCTAACTTTAATCCTATAAAATGATAGTTCCTCTCTATCATATGCCCATTTCTATTTCCCTCTGAACACCCCTAGCATCATATTCCTCTTTTTTCTTTGATGTTATCATTATCTTCATGTTGTTACAATCATACAGTTTACTTCTTTCTACTGTATCAGTACAGTTTGCTCTATGGGTCTTCCCTGTGTTATATGTCAGTCTTTGTAGATAGCACAATGCCTAATGAATGCTGAATGAATACATTTGTTGGAAATAACTCTCCTGTAAATTACTATGCTAAGCATTCCAGGAAGTTCCAACAATTATAGGGACGACTAAGACGTGGCTCATTCCTTTAAGGAGTCTACCATTCTGTTTAAAGGGTAAAATATATACACAAATAACTGTCATTCCAGGTCAAACATCCAAGTACTCTTATAGACGTACAAACATACTGGTGGAGAACCCAACGACGAGAAAGTTCAATGCCACCACTTCATGTTGTCACCTACGTATGTTCTAAAGGGACACTGTCACCCTCTTCAGCTTTTAAAAACCCAGTTCAATATTAGGTTCCATAATGAGTAGTTTTTGCTTGATTGTATAAGTTACTCAGTTACAGGTAAGATGGTGAAACTTTTAAAGAAAAATTTTCAGGAAATTCAAATGCAATTTATTTAGAGTGATTTCAAAATGGCTCAGACTTACTGATTGTCTAAGGAACAACTTGTTCCTGAGAAGAAAGTAGTTCATTTTGTTCTGAAAGCTTGCTCTACGTTAGATACTTGGACAAATCCACAAATCACAGTGTATGTTCTTTTTTCTGAGTTTCTCTGCCAACAGTAACCAACTAATTCGAGTTCTGACTTTAACATGATATTAATTTATTGATTTAAGAGAAAGTACAAAGATTCATTCATAATCTTCTTCCCACAGTCAACTCTTAGTCACCTTGAAGGGATGTACTAAAAATCAGCAAGATATAAAAAATAATATTTCTTAGCTTCTAGTTTAACCCAGTCAATACAGCCTGTGGATATGGAGTAGTTAATGAAATAAAATGAAGCCACATTTTGGGTTTGCATCATGTTCTAGGTAAAAGCTGAGTTTCATATTTGTACAAGCTCTGCTCATGTTGGCAACAACCCTGTGTCCACTGGTTTGGTTTATAAGAGGAACCTGAAATATGAAAGACCAAGGGCTATGTTTTTATTTCTATAATGATATGGAGACAGTGTTATCTTGGCAGCTGCAAGGAATCGTTGATAGAGTGAGATCACCTTTGGTGAGAAGTCTTAATGAGTCCCAGATGGAGAATCTGTCCCTCTCTGAGCCTGAGTCTCAGGTGGCAGCAGAAAACCTATTCTACATAATACAAGGGCTGAGATAAGGCAGCTCAAGGGAAGAAAATGCATGGGCACGAGGGAAACTGCCTTGAGTGGGTAAGCTAGCTAAGAGGACAAGAGCGAAATTCCAGAAGGAAGCCTTGGTGGGTCTCTTGACATCACAGCCACCAAAAAAGGAAGATGTCTACTGGATTCCTTTGAAATTCATCTTGAGTGCCATGTAATGTTACCCACTCTCATGTCCCTAAACATTTTCATTCCAATAAAAAATCCCAATATTTGTTGTGGGTTGGCTTTTTTTTTTTCTGGAAGAAGGTGAAGGGAACCAGTTTTCTATTAGATGATGCCAGGGAGGCAGTGACATCCGGACTATGTACTATTTGTTAATTTATTCATTTGGCATTCTACCCAATGTTGTGTCATTTTCAGTGTTGGACCATTCTAAAAAGAAAGCAGCAATTCAAATTCACCCCACTATTTGACTAAAGGAATTTTCTATGAGGGCAGAATTGTTGAGAATTATGTCCAACTGATCAATGAGGTCATGATATACATTCACTTTTCTTCTTCTTCTTTTTTTTAGATTGAAAATGAGAGAGAAGTGAGAGGAGCTGAGGGTGGCTCTGAACAAATGCTGCTTTTATTTCTCTCCATATCCACTTAGGACACTCAAACGTTAGACCTTCAATCTACGTCTAATTCGCACCAATAGGCATTTTATAATGGTGTTTGGGTTATTAATTTAAGATGATGTGTTTGTTTCCACTTTATAGTACAACAACAGAACTTAATGCTGCTGGTGATTGGTTTCCCTACAACTCCCCAGTTAAACACGCCGACTACATTTATTTCACATACAAGTTATTCACAAATGGCACTTATGCAGCCAGAAAATGGATTCTAAATCCATTGTTTCTCCTGTGCGGGAAAGCCCATTTCGTTTATTACTCCTTTGCACAGCTATTTGTGTTCAAGGAAAGGTGCATAAAGTTAAAGAAAAAGGAAGTCAAGGATAGCATTTCTCAGCTCACACTCCCCTGCGCTGTTGAAAGCTATAATTTTTAAGTCATGAAATCTGAGTCCTTTCAAAAGAAATGCTGTTGGGTTTGTGGGAAAATAGACACTTATCTTCTAAGAATTTAAATGTATGGATTTCATGAGTAAACCGGAGGAAGAGACCCTGTTATTTTATCAGGCTTGAGTTTCAGCCAAAAGTGGCTGGTAGATCCTTCAGAAATTATCCATTATCATCAGAGTATCCATTTGATAGTTTACCTTTCCAAAAAATCCACTGCTGGTTTCTTCCTTTCAAAGGAACACTAAGCTTTTTGACATGAAGCATTCTTTATATAGAAAACATCATTAGTGAATTCCTGGTGAGGAGCCATATGTCCCTACGTGGAATTTTCCATTTTATTCCCCATTTACTGGTAGGAAGTTCAGGTCTAATATTCTGAGGTACAACAATCCCTTTCATTAGCAGAGTAATGGACAGGCAGTTCAGGACTCTATGACGGTAGTTAACATCATACTTCTGTTCAGAAATTTATTTATGCCTCTATTTCCCCACGTGCAGAACAGGCAGATAATAAAGTTTAAAAAATAATTAGTTAATCACTAGCCCAAGCTTCTGAGCATGTTTTTCTCTTAAAAGTAAATGATAACACCCACCCCAGTCCTCAATCCACAGGTAACCACTGTTATCAGATGGGTGTGTACACCCCCAGAATTTGTCTATGCATTCATCTATAGAAATAAATATTATTTTCTATGTGTGCTTCTTGTACATAAAATACAATATATTAATGTAGTTCTATAACTTCTTTATATGTGCAGATCTTTTCATTTGTTCAAAAAATTTTAATGTTTTCATTGATTATTTGAGAGAGAGAAAGAAAGAGGGAGAGAGAAATATTGATGAGATAGGAACATCAATTGGCTGCCTCCTCACACCCCCTACTGGGGATCAAGCCCACAACCCTGGCATGTGCCCTGACGAGGAATCGAACCAGTCCGTGGGCTGATGAAGCTACACTGGCCAGACTCATCTCATTCTTTTAAACTGATGCATACAATTCCACAATGTAAATATATCCGAAATACCCGAAAATATTTAGCAACTCCTGTACTCACATTAAGTTGCTTCTAATATTTCACATTAGACAAATTACAGTTCAATACACACCCTGGTACAGGCCTCCTTGAGCAGTTGTGGAAAAGTCATTTTCTGGTATAGATCATTAAAAGAAAACTGCTATGTCACAGGAAATTAACATTTCAAAATGAACCGATTTTGTTAATTTGCCTTCGACAGTGACGGCCCCACTTTACATTCCCTCAAGCCATGTTTGTACAGTTCTTCCACTGTTCACTTGTCAACATCCTTATTCCTTGTGGTCCCTCTCAGACATCAACTGCTCCCTGAAATGTCACTGGATGTCCGGATAGGTTGTCATCACTCCCTCCTCAGCTTCACCTGAGCATTCTGTCACCTGTTCTTTAGGAACATCACCTTTTGGATTCTCCCTCTTCCTATAGGTTTGGGTACTGTCCTATACACTTCTACCTGATTGCAAGGTCTACAGGGCAGTGGGTATTTTAGTCAATGCCAGCTGGGAGCATGGTGCTTATTATACTAGGAACTCCAGAAATACCTAACTTTTGATTTTTGGAGGAATTTCATACCCAAATCTAGAATAATAATAACTTCTACATAACACTAAATCAAAAAGGTTTAAAGAATGCAAAGTGAGCATTAACTTGGAAGGCTTACAGTTGACCCAATCTCGAAGAATGGAAACCCAGAATTTTATTTTCTTTCTTACCTACTGGCTTTACGCCGTCTTCCTTGTTTGTTATAAAAGAGTTCAGAGAGTTTACTTAAAACTGCCACAGGAAAAGGTCTTCTACCAAATCGTGGGTATTTTTAATTACCTTGAGGCGCTGCCTGCAGAGTCTGACCTAGAAAAGGCTCACTTGAAGTGCACCCGGCAGATGTACAAGCTGTAAGAGTGAAGCTGTAGCTGGTATACGGCTGGAGACCTAGAAAGAGCAAACAAGCAATCAAGTTCATCTGGAGAGGATTATTTATTATCAACGAAGCACCAGAAGTGACATGCAGAGTTGCCGATACGGTATCCAAATTTTTTTTTTTTTTAAGAGCAGAAAACACCCTTTAAGGAAGATGGGAGCTTCATAAGCAGTTCAGTATTAATAGAAACTTCATTAATCACTGATGAAATAAGAAATTCTCAGCCTTCGAAGGGATTTATTCATGGAATCCAGCCATCCGCCTTTCTCTTGATTCCCCTGGACCACAGGCCGTTGGCGAGGCCGCGCTGCCCAGGTGGAAGGAGCCCTCTTTCTCTCAAGGAGCCCATCCCACACTTAGAGAGCTCCCGAGTTCTTGTTTTGCTTAAAAGTCCTTCCTTGCATTGTGGCGAACTCTTTCGATCACTTCCAGCCCTAGGGACATACCGAACAAATCTAATTTCTTTTCCACATGACAGTTCTTCAAATATTTGTGGACAGTTCTCAAATGCCCCCTGAGTCGCCTCTTCTCTGGGCTAACCATCCCAGCTTCTGCAATTGCTTCTTACATGAATAGAGGCGGAAAAAAAAAGAATGCTAGATTCAATGTTCTTTTTAGCCCCTAGCCATATTCAGCTAATATTGACACCAACCAACTCTCCTTTTTTAAGCTTTGTACTTCTTCACCATGAGATAGTTGACCATTTCACTTACTGCTGTAGTTTTTTTGGGGGAATGTTTGTTTTGTCTTTACACATAAAAAACACAATTTGATGAGGGGACAGTGCTTATTACTTTTTTTTTTGTATTTAGACCAATACAGCGCAGTAGCAGCTCAATAAGAAGATCCCAGGGAGGAAAAAAATGAGAATCCATTTGCAACACAAGTTCCATGTTGTTAGACTTTACCACTTCCTGGCTGGTGACCTTGGAAAGTCATTTGGCTTTTCTTTACCTTGATCTACTGACCTGTAAAATAGGAAATCTACCTGGTAGCATGTAGCTCCTAAGACTGTTGAGAAGGTGAAATGGGCTACTTCAACAACACTTTATTTTGGCAGAAGCAGCCTTAAGACGCAGAAGCATTCAACAAGAAGTATAGTTAGGCTACTCTTTCCTGTTTTGATTCTTGGAAAAATTCAAACGTTGCCAAAACTTAATTTTTTTAAATAGACTTAGTTTGCATGTCAAATAATTGGGCTTAGTTATAACAGGCATCAGATGATCACTACTTTCACATGAACTTTGAACTACATTTTCACATATGTGTCCTTCCTCCAGAGACATCTATGTGTCACTCTAACTTCACACAAATTTGTTCAAAAATGCTACATGTTTAACGATTTTGACCCTCTACACCCAACACTTTTTATCAAATTACTATCTTCCTTCCTAGCCTTCAACATTACCTGTTATTTTGTTATATGTCTGTTTATTTGGTGTTCGTCAGCCCCTCTATAAGCTCTGAAAGAACAAGGACACTGGTTTACCCACCACTGCACCCTCTGAAGAGTGGCCAGCACAATGCAGGCACTCGCTACATGAAAGAAACCACTGAGTAACTGGTTCGCCGAGGATCAGAGCAGTGGTCTGGGTTCTCTGCTAAAGCAAGGACGTGCCGTAGCTGGAGCTGCTCCAGGAATCAGCATCAACGCCCTTCGTGTTTCCTTATCAGTTTAATGAAAAGATGCAGATACTTGTCTGACTGCAATCTTCCATCTGGTTGTGATGGAGGATTTGGACAATTCTGATATTTAGCTGATTTGCGGACGAGGAATGTGATGAAAGATCCAAGTTGCACCCAAGCCATGATGTTTGATAAAAGCTGATGGGAAAATGCGAACGATGATAAAACACAGAGCTCAAGAAAGAAACGGAAGGAAACATCCAAGAAGGAAGGTCAGAGACTGCAGGGGCAAAAGCTGAGTTTGCCTGATGCTGTCCCCCAGGTACAGCCTTCACTGAAAAAGGGGGGTTTTGACCCTTGTAACACCGTTTCATCTGAATAGCTTACTCCTCACTTAGAAGGGAAGCAGTTTGAGAGTAGGGATGGTATGTTGAGGTTTTTAAAAGTAATTTTTTCCTAACCGTGCCTATTGTAAATGTTCATTGTTTGTGAAATACTATTTAAAGAAGACAAGCATACAAAAGTGCTCCACAACGACGTTTGGGCTATGAGGGCATGATAGTGTAGACTTGCTTATAGGGGCTCCAGGCCAATGGGAGAGAAGGGGATATCTGAATCTGTAACTCCCCCCATTCCATTCTTAGGCCCTGCATTTTTCATATTGCTAGAGGACCAGATGACTAACGGGCTTGATTCAGATACTCCATAAGGAAAGTATCTGCTGCCATCAGACGTAGAAGATTTCCACGAATTAGACGGTCTTTTCTATGGGTGCCTCTGTACAACTCAATAAAATCAACACATTTCAACGGGAATTTGCTGTCATTTTTAGTAAGTCTCTATTGGTAGCCCTTAAAATGAGATATGTATGAAGTATCGGCAACAGGCAATGAAAAGGGCACACCGACTGAGAGGTACTCATGAATTGATCGGGATGGGAAGACGGAAATAAAGAGAGATCTCCAAGGAACCCCTCGGACTGTAACTTAATCCCGAAGTCGAAGAGAAGGAGAAAAGAAAACATCACTCAAGCGCTCAGCACTGAATCCAGAGAGTAGGAAACGGCCGTTGAAGAGAAAGGCAAATGCATGGAGAAGAGCCAGGCATTTAACATTTCAGCACAGTGAGGATTACTGTGTCTGCAAATTACACGAATTTCCCCACAGGGAACCATGTGCTTTATTTTTAAAGGAAAGAGGCATAAAATAGCCAAGCTCATTACAAGTACACTTCCAAGTAATGTTACCTTTAAGAGTAAATGTGTGTTAAAAACGGGATACAGACCAATTTGAGAGAAGGTGATATCTCTCAAATATCACAAAAAAGTCTGCCTATGGATCATAAAGATATGATTTGGGAAACAAAACCCAGGCCTGTGGAAGTTACGTTTGACATACTCTATAAGGAACAGCTTGTTTCTAATGTTTAATCTCCAGATAAACTGCCAGGAAAAGGCATTTTGTCTGTTATAATTTTGGATAGCCAGCGCTACTTCAAAGCATGCATCCAGGTATGCTGCGGTGACAGCTGTCACATTCTAAAGAATGACCAAATAGCCCCAAAGACTATGAAATGCCACAAGTGCCTCTATCAACTTGGTTACTGATTAATTCACGTGCTGAGAGGCCTGGGTGGCTCCAAAAAGTTTTTGTCGGGTGGTCATCAGTGTTGTACACCTTGTGGATAAATGACCTGCCTTCGCACCTCCTGGTTTATGGGTCAACGCTCAAACACTGAGCAACACCAGCCATGCCTATCTTTACATTTTTATTAATTTCTGAGAGGAAGGGAGAAGGAGAGAGAGAGAGAGAGAGAGAGAGAGAGAGAGAGAGAGAAACATCAATGATGAGAAAGAACTGGAAACGTTACCTCCTAGTTCATAGGTCGATGCTCAACCACTGAGCCACGCCAGCTGGGCTTGAAATGCTTAATGATTTTTAAACAAGGGACCCCTCATTTCGTGATGCCCTGGGCCTTGCATATTACGAGGCCCAACCTGCCTGAGATTTAGATGTGTTTGATGGTCTCACTTTCATATCTAATAAAGATGAAACACAAGCATTCAGATACCAGTTGGCTACTCAACATGTATTCCCTCAACAAAGATTCTGAACACTTCCTGTGTGTTAAGTGGTGTGACAGGTACCCATCCTGGCCAGGTGAGACAAGGGCAGACGGGAAGCTATCGTCTCTCTCCTTCAGCAGCTTTACCTACTCGCTGAGGAGCAGAAACCAGAAAAAGGATATGGCAACGAAGTCCAACAAAGGCGATGACAACAGAATGTAAACACTATGGAAGCATACAGACTTATCCACATGTAAAATCCCACTGTACAGAATGTCCCTATTTTGTGATACGGATGGTCAAACTATGTTCTCTTTCCCCCCAAAGCGATGTGCAGGAAATCTGTCTGTCCGGGCAGAGGTCCTACTCTGCTCTAAGTAGCGCTGTGCATGCTCTTTCAGCACAGGGAGCTCTCATGAACTTCCCAGAGGATGCGGGCGGAAGGCCTCTCCTTGCTAACTTAGTGCTGGCGTGTCTTCCCCTTTAAGTGAAATGCAACGCGGAGCAACTTTTAATGAACTTTTTAAAGAAAACATTTCCCATGGAGTTAAGAGACACATAAGCCCTTATCCTGTCTGCCGCTAAAGAGGACATGATTAATTCATTTTGTCCTCCGTGGCCCTAATTATTTCGTTAATCCCCTTCCCCTGCACCCACCCCATGCTGACGTGAGGGCCCCCGTCTAAAGTGTAGGTAACCCAGAATAGAACAATGCCGATGCTGACATCCCGATCGCTCAGTGCGGGCCGGGCCGGCGGCCGCGTTTGGTAACCGGGGATATGAAGAGGCCGGTTATTGACAAGCTGCCATGTGCTGTTTGCATTAGCGAATATGAGAAGATGATGGCGCTGCTCCCTCGTCCCCCTGGAATCCAGCTCAGTGAGATAGCAGAAAACGCGCCCGTTTACTTAGAGCATTGATAACACCTCTAAATAATTAACTGAGGACTTCCTGTCTTCAATTACTTAATGCTTTTTTTAACATCTTGAGAGGATTATAAGCAATTTATGGATCGCGCGTGAGGAGTGCATTCGCCGCTATTCCCACAAAGCATTTAAGGGATCATGTTTCCAAAGCTTGGTGGTAATTAAAAATAAGGACGGAGACCATGGGGCTGGGGCATGGTGCTCGCTCCCCTGCTGTTGCTTCACAAGACCTAGATTTCAGGCTCCGGGATGACTACAGGTATAACTTCATTAGTGTGGCACTGCTACCCGGGGAATGCTGAGGCTTGGGAAATGATGAGAAAATGAAAGCATTCATCCCAGGGGGTCCGGGCAGCTCTTCGTCAAACCTTTGAGATGAACTGAGAAATACGCTTGCTTATTTGAGTTCATCCGTGACCTCAATAAAACAGTCACTCATATAAAACACATCTGTGTTCAAAGTGGTTGGTCCGCTGTCCCTGGTGCTGAATTTTGCCTGGCAGATCAAATGCATTCGCAGTCCATAGATCTTGGGGTTTAGGTCATCTAATGCCTACCTAGCACCATTCCTGTCCCCCAGGGCTACCCCCGGGTGGCTGTGAACTTGGTCAGGTTTTGCTGAATGAGGTTTATTTGCTCTTTCAACAGAGAACTCTCTCTTTAGGGCTGTGTCCCCCAAGTGACGTGTTCTTTGATTTGATCTAAAACAGCACAAATGGACCAAATGGAAGACCTGGTGGATGAAGCTCTCCTAAAGCTTATGTTCCAGCAGGAAGAGACATAAAAAGACAAAGAGAAAACCAACGAAAATATCAGGCAGGGATAAGTCGATGACAAAAATGAAACGCAGGTGATGTGGTGGTGTGTTAGGGAAGCCACAGCTAGACTGGGGACCTCAGAAAAGCCTTCTCTCCTACAGAAGTGACATTCAAGCTCCAACATGTTCATTATTATTATAATCACTCCCAGTAATTATCTAACATGATACTGTTATACTGTGCTGTTATTATACTATCAAAGCTAATTATAAACTGTTACAATAAACAATAAAAATAATGCACTTATTAATTGAAGTTAATAATAACAAGTTGTCACAACCAGACAACTGTCAACTCTTCTGTGTATTAATTACCGACTCGGTAGATAAATGTTGGCCTCTTGCTGATTTCCCCTCCTCCCTTGCACTTTCAAGACTTTCTTGGCTACCTTCGTCCCATTACCTGTGAGTGTATCCTTGGGGAATGAAAATGCATCTTTCTGTTTGTCTGGGGGGAATAAAAAGTGAATTCTGATGCAAAACCCCTACACATAATGCACATCAAAGCCAAAGAGAAATCATTTCTGAAGTGATCTGCTGTTGTGGCTTATTGCTGCCAGTGTGGCTCCTTCTATTAGTGTGGGTAAGCGGGGTCTGACCATATGTCAAGAGAACACGTCCTTTCGGAGTGACCTCATCTGTCACACACACACACCCCTGGGATGCTCGGCCCCCCCGACCACAAGGACAGACGCTTCCGGTAGGTTTTACCTGTGACCGTATGTTCCCTCCTGTCGGTGGTCTCCGTGTGGATGAGCCCCTTCCCAACCTGCCGGAGCTGGTACTCCGTAATGACGCCATTTGGTTTCTCGGGGGCATCCCAGCTCAAGCGCAGGGCGTCGGCCCGGGGGGCTGTGATCCTCGGTGGCAGGACGCTCTGCGGGGCTCCTTGGGTAGTAGTGACAACAACCTGGAACACGGAGTCAAACAGCCATTTATCACAGGTGTCCACTAGGTATTCCCACCCATGAGAGTGTCCCTTTTATTTTAAATATACATATTTTTTTATTGATTTCAGAGAGAAAGGGAGGAGAGAGAGATGAAAGAGCAATGATGAGAGAGAATCATTGATCGGCTGCCTCCTGCACACCCCACACCAGGGATGGAGCCCACAACCCGGGCATGTGCCCTGACCGGGAATTGAACCGTGACCTCCTGGTTCATAGGTCAACACTCAACCACTGAGCCACACCGGCTGGGCTGTTTTAAAATGTTGTCGCCTGGCCTGGCACACCATGAGTAGGGGCTTGGAGAAGGGCACCCTCTTTCTTTGATTCCTTCCCTTCTATTCCATCGAAACAATAAAATCCGACCTTGAACACATTCCATAAGTCTCAGGCTACCATTTATCACAACCAGGCTCAACAGCCATTCTGACGGCAGAGAGCAGCCCTCCGTTTAAACAAGTGAGACCTGGCTGGCAGACTGTCAGCCTGGAGAACTCTTGATAACTCTCTCCCATATGGCCCAGGAGTGTCTCTGCATTTTAACAGCCTGATTTTGTACATGTTAAGCACCGGTAAACATGGAGCCAAAAGCCACATCTGAACGCGCTTGCACATGGCATGCTTTGAACAGTACACATGGGCAGACCTTTGTCTTCCGAGCTTCCTGTGATCCCGGGATGACACCACAGTGTCTGCCCCAATGTTCTAGGAAGGGACCAAGTGAGAAGAAAAAGAACAAATCAGCCCGTTACCTGTGCAACGTTGTCGAAATATGACTTGGGGAGAAAAGGGGCTGCATATGTGTTTTGTTTTTCACAGAATTCACTCTGTTTTACCTTTTAACCATTTTTGGGGAGGGGGTGGGGCAGTGGTAAGCATGAGCTGTGCCTGTGCAGACGGCACGGATTTTGCTTGGAATGCTCAGGCCCTAGTTTTTGATTGGGACGATCAGCTGCCATCTGCCCCAGGGGTGACAGGTTTCGGGGAGGGTCTGTGGACTGTAAAGCTGAACCCAGATTGGCTGAATGTTTGACTTGGGCAGTTCTCGTGCAGGGTCTGAGGAGGCTGTTCCTCTAAAGGTTGAATGACATGTAAGGACCAGAGCTGCCGTGTGTGTGTCTGTTTTCTCCTGGGCGTCCTCTGTGATTATGGCTCTTTATTTTCCCCTGGAGGGTTTCTCTCTCCCAGTCCCTGGGTGGGGTTTTCTGCTTTCATTTCACAGCATTCCCCAGTGCTCATCACCGGTGGTCTTCTGCTTGGACCACAGCCAAACACTCCTTGCTTCAATCTCCCTCATACATCTTTCACTCCTTGCTTCAATCTCCCTCATACATCTTTCTAGTAAACTCCAGTCACACATATATATATATATATTTCAGAGAGGAAGGGAGAGGGAGAGAGAGGTGAGAGGAACATCAATGATGACAGACTATCATTGATTGGCTGCCTCCTACATGCCCCCTGCTGGAGATCAAGCCTGCAATCAGGGAATGTGCCCTGACCAGGAACTGAACCGTGACCTCCTGGTTCATTAGTCAATGCTCAACCATTGAGCCATCCCACTCCCTTCTTAATCCTGCTTCTTACTCGTTATTTTCGCATGAAGTACCAAATAATATTTTCTCCCACCACTCTGCTGTTGGCTCCTTCTCTTAAATACGTATTTAAAAACTAGCCAAATTTTAATCTTAACGTTTAACTTCTCCCTCTTTTGATGTTTTCTTTGCTTGCACGATGGCACTGTGACCCACACACTACTCCAGCCAGATACCTTGAAAGTACCCAGGACTCACTGCGTTTATTCCTCCGCATACAGTTGGCCACTAAGTCCCGTCTGTCTTATCCTCTGATACCTGCTGTATCTTTCTGATAGTCGCCATTCTGACCCCTGCTGCCTGAGTTCAGGGCTTCATTATTTCTTGGAAAGGTTGTTGCAGAAACCTTACAAACATTTTATTTTCTATGCTAGGCTTCTTTTGCTCTTTTTTCTTTATTTTTTATTTTCCAAGAGCTTTTAAAAATTCTATTTAAATAGAAACCCCTTTAAACTGAATATTGGTTTGGGAATTATCATGGATTTACAGAAGAACATCTAAAAATAGTTAGTGGGTCTGGCCAGCATGGCTCAGTGGTTGAGTGTTAATCTATGAACCAGGAGGTCACGGTTCGATTCCCAGTTGGGGAACATGCCCGGGTTGTGGGTTCAGTCCCCAGTGTGGGGTGTACAGGAGGCAACCTATCAATGATTCTCTCTCATCATTGATGTTTCTCTCTCTCTCTCTCCCTCTCTCCCTTCCTCTCTGAAATCAATAAAATATATTAAAAATAAATAAAAAGAGTTGGTGGAAGAAAAGTGTGATAAAAAGGATATATGGATTCAAGTATTCTTATTTATTTATGAAACACCGATATTTGAATAAATCTTTTTTCCATTGATCTCTAATTTGAGAGGCATAAGTATTAGTACTCAATTGAAATGCCAGCTGGACACCCTCAACCCGACACCGAGAGAAACACTGAACTCTATCACTGGGCAAATCCCTCTTGACCTAGACATCAGATAGTCTTCCCAGGGGATAACTTCGCCCAGAGGTGAGCAAACTCCCCTTACCTCGCCGCTGGGGGCACAGCCCGCAACCGTGCAAGCTTTCAGCTGGTATGAATACTCCTGAAAAGGCTCAATTCCCGTTGTATCAGAGAAGGTCAAGGACCTCCCCCGAAAATATTCCACTCCATTTCGGAGAAGAATGTAGTGAATGATATGACCTAAAGGAGACAGAGAAATGCTTGCATTTGAGCACCATAACCTTGTAACCATTTGCAAACAATGTACATGTCTTAGAGTTTGGAACAAATGGGATGCTGTGGCATTCTGTATTTAATTTCCATTTGCTATCACATTGCTATGTGCAAGGCGTTCTTAATTATACGCACTCTTAGGGAGGAGATGGATTCTTGACACAGCTAATCAGAGTCATTTATGCTTATTTCCCCGCACTAGCAAACAAATTTACTTTCAATATTAAAACTATTTTGCCTTCCCGTAACCTGCTTCATTTGTCAGAGCAACCCAGGTAAAGGCTGGGACTCAAGAAAAAAAAATTGGGGGCTCACAATGGGTGCGGGCTGTTTCACAAAAAGAATGACTAGTTGGCACAAACCTCAAGACCACTTGATCAGGAAATACTTTTTAGGGGTTAGAGGCATGCCAATTACATGTAGATTACACCCATTTCAATGCGCTCATGGATTTATGGAACTACGGTATTTCCACCTTAAAAGCAGCTTAGTACCATTCGGTTGTATGGGCTTCTTCCAGGTTAGGAGTATTCCATCTTCAGGACGGTCCGTTCTGAACCACTGAGGGGGACTCACTCCCTGAGGCACGTCTTCTTTCGTGCTGGCTCTAACAGCTTCGCTGAATGCTCGTCCGTAGCCATTCCAAGCCGAGATCCTATACTCGTATGTCGTATAGGGCTCCACGTTCGCATCTAGAGAGATAGACATTGAACGGTAGAATTTAAAAAAAATTTAGTTTGCCATCATACTGCAAATGAATAGCAAAACCTTTAAACATTTATTTTAAAGGCTTAATGCTCTAATCCTCTCCCTGAGAATAAAACTCTAGTGTCTTGATTCTATGAATCGTAAAAAAATATCTTCCATGTTTCATGGATGCAGAGATATGGAATGGCACAGAACAGAAATCACCTTTTCTGACCAGAGGAATGTGAGCACATTAAAGAAATGATCGAAAAGCCCTGGACTAATGTCCGTTGGATGTCGCTGCTTCGTAAGTTCATGCTCCCTCCACTCCTGCAGGCGGCGGGTTTGCCAACCTCTTTCATAGTTTCATCATTATAAATGTCACCAAGTCTTACAGTGTTACTATCACTCGATTAAATCATTCTATGAATTACAATGCAGCTGTTATGAGATGCGGGACTCGAAGCTAGCGTATCATGGTTAGTGAAGAAAAATGATTGTATCCTGGTCTCCTCTCCCACCAAACCCAAACTGAGACAGAGCCCAAGCCAACCACCTAATTCAAACCAGCCCCCTGCTCTAGCTCCACGTCTACACCAGGTTAATTTTCAGTCCATCCACATGGGCTGTTTGACCACATTCTTCTTACATCTTCAACAATTAACCCTGCCCTGCCTACCTTCTAGAATAAGAAAATGAAATACAATGAAATCATATGCGGGAACTTCATAAAAGGTCAATTGCCATCAAACATAAGGGATTATCTTCCATCCCCATTTTCTCTGGTATGATGGTGTCCACCCCTAGTTACCCGTGATGGGTCTGCAGATTTCCCTTCCATTCTGGCCAGAGACCACATTTCCCAGTGTTCTTTGCAGCTTGGTGCAGTCACATGACTGAGATCTCAACAAGGGAAGGGCATGGAAGTGATATGAGCTCCTTGTGCATCGCTTTCTAAAGAGGAAATCACTGCCTTCCATGGCTGTTCTTGTCCCCTGCTTATGGGTTAAAACTAGGAAATGGTATCTCAGGGTGTAACGTGTGGACAAGGGCAGCACCCCAAGCACCATGAGCCACGAAATGGAAGGAATCTGGATCCCTGACTAACGATGGGCGGAGATGCCCACGCCATCCACTTACTCACAGATGGTCACTGTGCTTCTGAATCTCTTTGCTACAGCAGATGAAGCTATCTCTTGATAACGGCTGTTATTTCCCACCCTTCAAGCCCACATCACCATTTCTAATTTCAGTTCCTTATTTTTTCTTCTACATTTCCTTCTTCTCTTTTTTACCCTTTCATCTCTTGCCCTTATTACTTTATTTTCCTGTGAGGTTCAGTCTTTTAGAGATGCTTCCAGCCCATAAAAGCATTCTTTATTACTTTACACAAAAGGAATCATTTGTTGAGATGTTGCTTTTCCTCAATAATCTCTTTCTCAGAGCTCTTTTTCCCTTTGTAAGAATTTCCACTTTTTTTTTTAACTTTGTATCTCAAGATCGTTTTGTATGTTATATGGGGTCAGTCTTCTAATAACAGAGGGTTTTGTTTGGGGGGATATAGATGTTCAATATTTACTCGTTAATTGCTTAACTGCCCCAGACATGTTTGTCTTCAATCACTTCAAGCTAACATAGTAATCCTTCAAAAATGCGTATCATACCGTGTCATTTAACATCTACACCTTGCTGCATAAAGGTGAACTGCTTACTTACTTCTTTGTTCCTTATTCTCTACAGGTTTACTTTAAAATAGCCTGCATCCTTGTTTAAAGTTAGACTTTAAAATATTTAAACTGCTAACTTTGAACAAATCCAGATTGTGCCTTTAAGGACCTTGTGACTCACTAGCCCATAGGGTAACGGGATGAACTGCCCTTAGATTGAGGAGGAAGATGATGTCAGAGTGAATCAATGTGCATGTCAGCAGCTTCTCACGACTCCTCGGGTGCCGTGGGCAGTGAATCCTCTGTTACCTGTGAAGGAGAACGTGTCTGCGCTTCCTGTGTGCACCAGCTCTTCCGCAGAGGAGCACGCTTCTGCCACAGGTGTCCTCTCCGTGGAGCTGCGAGACCCGCTGACCACTGTGCAAACATGGCTGGTGAAGTTGAAGTCACACCGGCCGCAATGTGCTGTGGCCGCCGCAGACGCTGGGCAGACAGTGCCGCACGCTTCGGGGGTGTCCTGGGCCAGGCGGTGGGGGTGGGGGAGAGGGGAGAGGACTTTACTATTTCATGTAGGCAGACATAGGGTCAAGTTCTACAACTTTAATGACATTTTCTTCCATCGAGTTCATGAATGAATCTCTCAAAATGAGTAAAAAAGAGAAGTGAAGGCCGTTTGTGTGCTAGAAAGAGCATTTGTGTTGAAGTGACACAGACTTGGATTCAAGATCCAGTTGGACAAGTCCCTAGCTCTGTGACCTTGAGCAAGTGACCCAGACTTTCCAAGCCTCAGCTTGTTCAGGGAGAAAATGGAAATTAAATGTAGCAGTTGTGTGACTCAAAGGGCGCCTGGGAATGCCTTACACTCAGTAGATCCACTATCATTCATAACAGTCGTCGGTATTTTATTATTGTTACTTTGACACTTTCCTAGTGGAGTTTTTGAGAAAATAAGAAATGTGATATTTAAGGATCTGCGCCTCCTATGCTGTTGGGAAAGTATGATCTGTAAGAAGTATCCCATCCAAGTGAAAATCTATGTAGTTCATGAACTGCCATTATACTTACTTACTAGAGCCCTGGTGCATGAAATTCGTGCACTGGAGGAGGGATCCCTCAGCCTGGCCTGCGCCCTCTAGCAATCTGGGAGCCCTTAGGGGATGTCCAACTGACAGCTTATATAGTTGGACATCCTTAGCACTGCCGTGGAGGTGGGAGAGGCTCCCGCTACCACTGATGCGCTCACCAGCCATGAACCTGGCTTCTGGCTGAGTGGTGCTCCCCTTGTGGGTGCACACTGACCACCAGGGGGCAGCTCCTGCATTGAGCGTCTGTCCCCTGGTGGTCAGTGTGCGTCATTGCGACTGGTCTTTTCCCGTTTGGTCGATTTGCCTATTAGCCTTTTATTATATAGGATACTTGTAAGCCTTGTCTCTGATGAATCACTAGATTTTGTAATATATTTTGATAAATACTAATATGTTTTAATCTCCAAAAAAATATTTCATCATTCCCAATTTTATAGGGATATAACAAGTCAATACAGGGTAGGGCAAAAGTAGGTTTACAGTTGTTTATAACTAAGTGAATTTGCTGGATCTGAGGTTTGGTGGGTGTGGGTTGAGGGGCTAGAAGGAAGCAGCCAGAATCCCGTGTTTCCCTCCATGAAACCTACGGGCATGAGATGGCACCACGCCAGGCCCTGGCCCGTCTGGGCACAGAGGTGTTCTAGTCTTGCCCTGACCGGAAGCTCTGGGTAAGGCTCCTAGAGAACAGCTAGCTCAGCATTATTAATTCCCTTAGAATTCGCTGCAATAACATCAATCACAGCGAGCTCATTGGGTATTAATATGGATGGAATGCGGGAATGAATAATGCACACAGCAGTTTCCACATTCCCATTCTAGAACAATAGCCATGAACAATGTATTTCTCTCTCCGTCCTCCAGCCCGCGTTTCCGAGAGGTGTTCTGCCCGTTACCGTCGTCCTGGGTCCGGTGGGAGCCTTGTCGGAGCAGACATATTCCAGGGGGTCATATCCAACTCCGTTGCAGCAGGCCTGGCTCCCCGGAATAAGCGCGGTCTCGCAGCATCTCACTGGCACCCGGCCGCTCTTCCTAACATGTGGCTGCGAGGCTCCGCTGGAGGCTGAGCAGCATCTGGTCTCTGCCACACTCACGTAATCCTGCCCGCAACAGGCCATGCCTGCAAGAGCAGAAGGTTAGAGATGAAGAGGAAGTTTAGTAAGGGGAGGATGCGGAGGGGGCTATGGAGTGTGGGATGAAACCGCCAGACCCTGGCAGTGGCTGAGAGGGTGCGGCCCTCCCCAGGGGATGTAAACTGCAGTGAACCGTCTTTCTCACCAAAAGCACTGGGTGCTCATTAAGTAAAGGACACACAGAGCAAGGGTTCCAGAGCACTCATCGGGGCCAACTTCTCCAAGCTCCGGAGAAGATCGGGTGTCTGCCCCTTTTCTGATGACCAAATGTTCTGGCAGAAGGAAGGGTACCGTGGCACCTCACTTCTCGAAGGTCTCCCATCCCGAATAAGTCACCCCGACAACCCTTTCCTGCTGAGGCCTGTGGGTTGGTTCACGTGCCTCCCAGGCGACAAACAAAGGAGAGAAGGAGTGAATCTGAGCCAGTTTACCACTGTGAACGTCACAGGATACTGTGCTGTGAATATTTTCGTGTTTTGGGTTTTTTTTTGCTTTTGTTGCTTCTTATAATTATTGTTAAATTTTCATTCCTTATTATACATTTCCTTTTCCTTTTGTTGTTTTCATGTACATTCCATGCCCTTTTTGTTTTTAAAGTGTTTGTTTATAAATCAAACAGTACAATAGACATGTACGGTATAGAAAAAATGTTAAAACGAAGTCATTTTAACATTATGGGGGTCTGGAACAGATTCATTCAATGTACATGATTTCTAATGCGAAATAATGATCTGGTTTGCCAAAAGCCTTCAGGAACGAATGAAGTTCGAGAAATGAGGTGCCACATACTTAAAATGGAGGGACACCGAGGACATCTCTAGAATTCCCAGGGGAGGAGAGGCCACCAGAGTGCTCTGGGGCAAGAGGCCAGACAGAGGGGAGAGGCAGCCACTGCGGAACTGGAAACTCGGCAGCGTGAGTCTCCTAAGCTGCTGCCTGGCTCTGTCTAGGGTCCAAGTATTTGCTTCTGGGGACTCCAGCCACAGAACCGTTCTTTCTTCATGACACAGATTTGCACCCACGGAGCATGCTCATCCATTAGGCGAGCCATTCGGCCAGTTTTTGGAACCATCACTGGACCTGGGTCAGAGGATGGAGGACACGTGTGCCTGCGAGACCAAACGGACTCCTCCCTCCCTCTCACCCAATCCAGTTTCACCAACTCTGTTCACCTCACTGAGATCAAACCATAGAAGAGATACGGCAGAAATGTAGACAAAAATAAAGCCTGAATAACCAAACTAGTCTAGAGTCAGATTAAGCTGGAAATAAAGGGGCCCATACTCCACGTTACAGTGCGATCATAGTACAGAGAGACATATATCCATTTATATAGTAGCAAAATGAGGGGATTTAGTTTAATTAGGGTTTTATTATTAGTCCCGACTGGTAACATAAAGAACCTCACCTTCAAAGTGCCATGGGTTCCTGCAGTGTTTAATCTGGCCTTGTACAAACACACATGCCATGAGAGATACTCCCAATAACAGACCAACGAGTCTTAAGAGGTTTTTTGTTATTGTTTCTTAATCGTTCAATCTAGACACTGGCTTGGCATGTGCCTTAAGAAAGATGCTTACCCACGCATAAGTTCAAAGAACTCTCCCACTGACCTTCAACTTTAAAAATATCTCCAATTACTTGCATTTGTATTCACAGTTAATGACATCCATTGAGCGTAACTGAGTTTTGACATGTTCTAATGTAACTGCTCAAAGTCGTGGGTTTAAAAGTTAACTGTTTTTCTCTGGGGCTTTGTTAATAATTTTGGTTGTTTTAACATTTCCAGGAAAAGTCCTCTCGAATATATACACACAGCAGGGCTATCACTGCAGTCTGAGTCTTGATTATGATGGATAAAATCACACACACACACACACACACACACACACACACACACCCCACAACTTCAGTTTTTATATTATTTGGATGTACCTCTGATGCCTTGAGATCAGGCATTTAAATGCCACCTTGGATTCTTTACTATTATTTTTTTCTCTGGCAGTTTTCTTAAAATACTTCATGTTTTCATTTTAAAGAGCCATCAAATTCTAAAAACTGGCCCCTCAGGGAGCAGAATAACCTGCCCCCTCCCCGCTTCCAGATCACTTTACGGTTCCCCCATGCTTTACGTAGAAAATCAAAATGCAGACGCTGACCCAGTTCCAAACTCCTAAGCAGTCAGCGGATCGCTCTGAGGGACTTTTGACAGGCCAACTAAAATCCCGCTAATGAACAGTTTTTATACCAAGAAGAGAGAGAGAGAGAGAGAGAGAGAGAGAGAGAGAGAGAGAGGCTTTCTTTCACCAAGAGTTTCATGTTAGTTTCCCTGAATTAAAATTTCCAGCCAAGATTTCACCCCCATAACAAGAAGTGACTCCCTTTCTAGTTCCTTCGGTAAACCATTACTTCTTTAATTATTATCAACCTTGTTCCAGGGTGATAAATTGCTAATTACTTAATACCCTAATCAGCGTTCATTCTTTGCACAGATAAACTGTGACAGAGCCATTAATTTAAATAGTAATTTCACTTAATGGCCAGAACGGCACACCAGATTTTTATGCAGCCTTTCCCGAAGCCGGCATCCATCACCGCGCTCTCCTGACATAAAGACGTCTGACGCGCACTAACTCACTTAGGGAGAGCAGATGTTCCAGAGCGGGCTCGGGAGAAAGTCCCAGGGTGCATCACGTCAGCATGAATGAGCTCGGGTTCCGAGTGGGACCATCTCCCAGAACTGCACTGCCATCGCTTTTGACACCCTACCTAACTGATCACAGGTGGCACTTGACCTTTGACCTTGGGCACACAGCACGCACCATTTTGAGTAACCCCAAAGAAAAACAAAACGAAGCTGTGGATCAGTGACTGGCTGATCTGTTTGTTTTTTATTCTAGAGGCTCTTCATTTAATTTGTACAAAGGTGGAGTGTCTCTTTGAGCGAGTTATTAAAATATTAGATGTTTATTTCTGAGATCAAAAAGCATATGTAGCGAACGAGTCTTTCCAAACTGCATAAGTATCCAATGGAGAGCTTCCACGGTACTGGCTACAACTGGTATTATAACTACTTCCAATATGTTATCAATTCTTATTCAATGGCAAGGGCTGAAAATGAAAACATGCATAAACAGATAGGCCTGATGAATTTCTAAATTCTTAAATCTGCATAACAGGTGCTCATTTTTCTAAAAAAAAAAAAAGACCAGCATTTATGTATCATGCTTTTGAGGTTAAATCAGTACCGTAGTTTTTAAAAAAATGAGTCTAGAACATGACAAATCATTGTGGGACTCTGGAATTAATCATGAGAACCACCTTTTAGCTAAGGGATACAGCTTAGGCCTAAAGAAATTAAAAAAAAAAAAAGTTCGTGATTAGTCCTTAGGACAAACGAAATTGGTGGCAGAGACTGAAAGAAAATAAACGCATGCTTGCCTTCACCAGTAGGTGGCGCTATGGCTACCACCACAACAATGAGAAGAAAGGGGTGGAGTAAAAATGCTCCCCAAATAGTGGCAACTTATTTTGTAGCATTTATACAGCACTATACTTTCAAAATATTCATTATGTCATGGAAATCCTCCTGTGAAATATTCTTTATTTTTTTTATTTTTAATACTCAACCAAGGATATGCTTTGATATTTTAGAGAGAAAGGAAAAGACAGAAAGAGAGAGAAACAATGATGTGAAAGACAAACATCTATCAGTTGCCTTCCATATGCTCCCTGACCAGGGATCGAACCTGCAGCCTTAGGTATGTGCCCTGACCAGGAACTGAATCGGCAACCTTTTGGCATAAAGGTCGATGCTCCAATCAATTGAGCCACCCAGGCAGGGGGAAATATTCTTCCAATACACTCTTCCAGGATGGAGTTCTGTGCTGCACATCCCTTTTTAGCAAAGTTCCCAAGATTAGTCCATCTTATGTAACTAATACTGGTGCCATTAATTCTACTCAGGTCTGAGTCTAGGGCAGCCATGGGCAAACTACGGCCCTCGGGCCGGATCCGGCCCGTTTGAAATGAATAAAACTAAAAAAAAAAAAGACCGTACCCTTTTATGTAATGATGTTTACTTTGAATTTATATTAGTTCCCACAAACACTCCATCCATGCTTTTGTTCCGGCCCTCCGGTCCAGTTTAAGAACCCATTGTGGCCCTCGAGTCAAAAAGTTTGCCCACGGCTGGTCTAGGGCATGAAAACTCAGTGTTCTTTTCCCCGACAACAGCCTCAGAGTTTCCCAAGAAAAGCTGCAGGGACATTTATAATAGAAACAAGGCAACAGGATCCAAACGTCTTTCATGATCAGTTTCCCATGACGAACAGAAAAACCTGTCTTGTGTTTTTTTTAATGTATTTTTATTGATTTCAGAGAAGAAGGGAGAGGGAGAGAGAGATAGAAACATCAATGATGAGAGAGAATCACTGATCGGATGCCTCCTGCACGCCCCCCACTGGAGATCAAGCCTGCAGCCCAGGCATGTGCCCTGACCAGGAATCCAACCATGGCCTCCTGGTTCACAGGTCGATGCTCAACCACTGAGCCACGCCGACCGTGGCTCATTTACTCCAATTTCAAATATGAAACTCATCTCCAAACCCTCTCCTCCTTTGAATAACAGAAGGGCTTTCATTCTCCTCTTTTAACACGAAAGGATATAATCAAGTTCAACCCAAGATTAATGGCAGAAATGATAAAATCGTAGAAGCAAACACTAAGAATAAAGAGAGTCATAAAGAGGCTTAAAATACGGTCAAGGAAAATGGTTAAGAATACATATCTGCCGAAATGACAGGCACGGCTTCCATCCCAAGACGCCTGCCTGAGACTCCTACGCCGCCCGCCCGCCCGGAGAGAGCACTAAAAGCATAAACGCTGCCCCAGCACTTCTGTTCCGACAGCATCTGTTAATTCTCTCCATTTATAAAATACATATTGACAAAGACAACTGAACTGGGACCGGGGAGATTTGATTTGGTGTGAGAAAGTCAATTCAATGTGATTTTGTTAAAGGGCTCCTGCAGGCGAATAAAAGAGTTTAAGTAATAAAGTACATAAAGAGACGTTTTACGAGCCAGCCCGGTCTCGTGGCAGGCACACAAGGCCGGGCAGGGAGAGGGGCCGGGCCTGGGAACGAAATCGTGAAATCCAGAGCCTAGTGCGGCAGGTATGGGGGCTGCTACGTGGAGGGGAAATAAAGAGAGAGCCATATGGATGCCCTGGAAAGTCATTAAGGCCACAGTCATCAGGGGCGACAGGAGGAGAGGCAGCAGAGAGCGCGAAAACGACAGGGGAAACGTGTCTATTTCCAGTGGAACCTGCAGGAAGGTCAAGAGAAGAGGGATTTTTTTTTTCCTCTTTAAAAATATCATCCCTTCGGTCTACCGTGATGACCAGAAATGAAGACTGTCATGAGGAACTGCAGCACGACCTGGATTCACAGGAGGTGGGGAAGGTCACAATTTGCTTACAAAATATCTGACCAGCACAGTGTCACAGGGAAGCAAGCGGAGAAGTGATTCTGAAATTTGGGCTCACGAATGGGCTTAAAGGGCATATGAAATTGCAGGTACATTTTGTGGGCTCCATCCCCAGTGGGGGCCTTGCAGGAGGCAGCCGATCAACGATTCTCTCTCATCATGGATATTTCTCTCTCGCTCCCTCTCCCTTCCTCTCTGAAATCAATGAAATATATATTTTTAAAGAAAAGAAAAGAAAAAAAGTGCTTCTGCTTTCTCACCTGTAACATGGAGATAATAACAGTACCTACCTCCTAGGCTTGCCGTGAGGATTAAAGATGCTCATGTATATGAAGCTCACAGAACCCAGCTCGGGGAATAACGAACATGGGATGTGGTTTGCTTGTGGCTGTATTTTGTCTCTCACTGTTTCTGCTTCTCATTTGCTCCATTACTGAAAGGCAGGCGAGGCCCCTCACCTGGAAGGCGGCTGTACGCCACGCCCCCGTCTGCTCCCCCGCAGCACTGGGCCTCTCTGCTGACCAGCTGTCCCCCGCAGCACTGCTGGCCATGGCCGTCCCGCAGCCTCCCCGCGCAGCACACCTGCACGCCCGCCGTGGAGTAGGGCATCCGGCCGCAGCAGGCGTCACCCAGGCCCACGGCGACCCGGTGGTGCTGGGCATCTGGACAGCACACCTCACCTGCCAGTGGAGGGCAAGAACCAGCATCGCGTGAGATAAGAACATCTGCTCTGACACAACGAAACTGTAGCGCAGTCATCCTGCAGATGCCGACTGGCTGAGAGAATTGCTAGAAAGAACACTGACGTTTTGGAGTTGCAACTTCTCAGTGCAACTCCAACATGCTTGCATTAAAGACATAGGAATACCTGTATCTGCTCACCCACACGCATGTCAGCTTAGAGGTTATCTAGTTCCTCTGACCCCTCACAAATGAGCACTTCAGACTTGGTGATGTGGATTCAGGGACAGCACAGAAAAAGTTTGTCTACAAATACTTTCCTGTGTAGTGTAATTTTTTGGAATGTGGGTAGAGTCAGAAATTAACTCTCGATATATTTGTAACAGCTATGATTATAATTTCACACTGTGCCGGGAGCCGGTCCATCCTTGCTGTTTCAAGGGACCTGGCATATATGGCATACTGTTCTTAATATGTTTGCTTACCTTCTTGGCGCTATGTGTTTTAACCGAGGTCACCTCTCTGAGAAAGGTTGTTTCCCCAGGTGGGGATTTTTCCCTGAGGTTAGGGAGGGGATACAACCCCTTAATTAAGTGCCAGGAGAGTAGTTAAGCTACATAATCTTTACTCCCTGGAATGGAGATAAGAAACGCCCTAAACCTTTGTAATAGAAATTGACAGGATTAAAATCGGCTGGTGGAAATACGGATGTAACAAGACAATAATCATCAGACCCTCATCAGATCCTCGTCAGATCCTAACCAGAACCTAGCCAGAGAACATGGCAAAAGATCCTGGACAGAACCTGGCTACAGAACTTCACTGGAGAACCTAGACAGAACATGGCAAAAGAACCTGGTGACTGAACCTGGCTGGAGAACCTGGAGAACCTGGCTGGAGAATCTAGCGAGAGAAGATGGCTACAGAATCTGGCGGGAGAACCTTGCTATGCTGATCAACTGAACACAGCCTCCATGTCATTCCTTCTTCACCGACTCTGTCCACACCTTTGGGGATCCCTGGACCCGTTGGGGTTGGACCCCAACAACACTGTATTTATTTAACCAAACAAAAACCTTCCAATGGGAAGGTTGATCAAATGAGAGGAGGTAAAAATACTATATTTAAACCAGCACACTAGTATTTTGGGAGCAGTGGCAGACATGGAATTTCACTACTGTAGTTATAGCCACATTCCCCTTTACATGATGTTCTGGGAGACTTGAGGTAAAAACCTTCTTTTTCCTGGTATCTTGAAATCAAAGAGTTCAAAATACATTACTTTTCCCTAAGGATACCTTAGAGAGGACTAAGAGCAACTTGGTGGATTTAAAATTCAAACTTCACCTTTCGTTTCTATCTCATGACCCCACTCTGGGTTGACCTCCCTCCTGTCCCCTGAGTCCTGATTTCCTCCCCTCCTTTGTCTTATTCCTTTCCTCCTTCCTGTATCTCTAGCAGACCCTCTCCCCTCTCCTCCACTGCCCCTTCTCAAACACACCTTTCTCCTTGGACAGTATTCCTTCCTATTTTATAAGGGATGTGAGTCTGATGACCAACCTGGCAGGTCTTATTAAACCATGGTCCAGCCAAGACTTACACCATCTGGCTAATGACTTGCCAAACCTTTTTAAGTTGGGGTTGCTTTAGAAATCTATAGACCTGAACTCCCTGATATGTATCAATTAGTTCATCTTTTTGTGAGGTCAAGAAATGCTAAGACTTGGTTAGTAACAGCAAGGCAAATCACCTACTAAAAGGATATAAAAACGTGGGACACTCTTTCACTATGGATAGATATATAGAGTACAACAGGAGGGCGAGGACTCTACCCTATCCCATCCTCCCCTGGGGTTCTCTGGAAATGCTTATTCCAGGGGTACCCCAAGAACCCCACTCGCACTCGCAATGGAAACCCACGCATTTCTCCGATAACACTACTAGAGGCCAGTGAGGAAGAAATGGAGAGTACAGTCACTGTATCTCATATTCCTCTGCATAAAAGGATTCTTCACTTTGGTCTGAAATATAGTTGCCATATTTCTTAGATCCTACAGCTCGGGAACAGAGGGCCCCTTGTTGGCGGACTTCCTTTAACACAATGTGTCACGTGGTGCAGGGGCAGCACCACTTAATTAAACTGCACTTAGGAGAAGGGTGGGCTCGGAGGAAACACAGCAGACATGTCTATATTGGGGAAAACCAACAATTTTTTAAAAAACCCACTTTTGAGTAGAACAAATAATTGGTTTGGATAGTTTAGCCATATTTCCCCGAATCCCTCAGAATCTCATTGCGTTACTGACAGAAGAATAAAAGATGTGGATTACATCAATGAGAAGTAAAACTGATTTTTTCCTCTCAGAAAAGGCCTATTAGACCTAAGATTCAAAGATCAGTCACCTTCTCATTAACCTCTCAAAAACGAATCTATTCTACCACTGGCTTGAAAATGCTTTCTCTCTAAAAGCTACCCCGTGGTCTCAACTGTTAATTGTTAGTCTTATCAAAGAATGACCCGCATTAACATTTAGCTTGAGGTCATTAGCATATTTATAAAAAAGAGGGGGGAGTCATGAGCATTCTTTTCTCTGTTGCTCTTTGTTGTGGGTGCTATGAAGGAAAGTTGTGAGAAAAAAATAAACTAAGTATTATTAACCAATACTTCAGACTCCTCTATAAATATCAAACTCATCTATACGTATCGGAATGCATATACCCATCTCAGCCTTGAACAGGCAGACAACTGATTAGGTTTTAATTGCATTTCCATACAAGATAGTTAGGGGGTTAGTGTTCTTTCTTACTTGATGTAAACAGTGTTAAACTGATAACGAAGACCAGTGGCTGAGCAGAGGTCACAATATAATCTCTTCGTTTAGTTACACTGAGATTCATGACTGGAGCAAAACACTCTCATGTTCCCATAGGATTGTATGTATTTTTTCTCTTGACATCATGGAATAGACATTCTAATGCTATGAAAAAGGGACAATTTAAAAGGATGTGGGCCTTGTTCAACATCTGGTAGATGCCCAGATGCTTGAGGTCTGAGTGAGCCTGTGTCAATATCTAGATCATGGAGGTTTTAAAAGATCTTGTTTTAAAAATTAAAAAGTTTCATATAATATTATTAATCTTTGGGCTTCCAGGATTTATTCCATTCTTAGGAAAAATATGTCAAATTTTATTTGGAAACAGAACAAACCTAGACTATTGTCTTAGCTCGAAATCTGCCTCTTTGTGTTAGAAATGAGAAGTCTCCTCCATGTGCGTGGCTGTGGTAGATGCAGCCAAGCATTTTTTCATCCATTTTAAGGAATAGAGGATATTTTTCAGAGTTTGAACAGTTAATAGCAAATAAAAGCATACATTTTAATGCTACTTAGAAATGAAAACACTACCATGTAGTTTTATGCTACACTTAGACCAAAGCCTATTATGGTCTTTTAGTTTGAAGACTGGGACAACAGAAAATTTCTCTCTCAACTATGTAATTACAATTTTAAGGACATTTTTTTTTCAGGGGAGGGGAGATAGGAACTACAGTTGAAAACTCCTTCAGTGTAATGTACCCCAAAGCCTTTGGCAGTGTTGGACTAGATGCTCATACTGTGGTTTGCAGTATACGGAAGCTGACACTGAAATCTACACAATTCTATTCCCATCACATCCTGTTTTCTTACTTGGAAAATCTAGTTAAGTTATTTAATTATGAAAGTACTTTTTTTGGTGAGAATCAGAATAACAGGCCTGCTTCAAAGACAGGTTTTTCTATAAACTTTAAGGGACAGTTATGAAGAACAGAGGACTTCAACCTTAAATGAACTTACATCGTATTTGATTATTTCACCTTCCCTTTTTACTCCAGTGTTTCACAAAGAGATACGAAGTGAGATAATGTTTCATTTTACACAACTTAGATCAGTGATGGCGAACCTTTTGAGCTCGGCGTGTCACCATTTTGAAAAACCCTAACTTAACTCTGGTGCCGTGTCACATACAGAAATTTTTTGATATTTGCAACCATAGTAAAACAAAGATTTATCTTTTTGATATTTATTTTATATGTTTAAATGCCATTTAACAAAGAAAAATCAACCAAAAAAAATGAGTTCTCGTGTTACCTCTGACACGCGTGTCATAGGTTCGCCATCACTGCCTTAGATGGATATATGTCCACCAAACACAAGGGACCCTGAACAACATCTAATGAACTAGATAACTGGCATACATTTTATGTTAAACTAAATGTTTCAGAGCACTCAGGATTAATTGGGCATCCAAACACGTACCTTTCTTTTCTTTCTCCCATATCTATTTCTGGGCTTTTAAAGAAGACACAAGCATTAAAGTTAGGTGGTAGGGAAACAAAAAGTTGTTCTCAATGGCTTTTCCAGGATAAAAAAGGAACCGACAATAGCAGTAATAAGATTTTTAGATATACTGGAAAAGTCATTTAAAAAGCTATGTTGCCCGGCCAGCATGGCTCAGTGAACCAGGTTGAGCATCGACCTATGAACCAGGAGGTCATTGTTTAACTCCAGGTCAGGGCACATGCCCGGCTTGCGGGCTCCATCCCCAGAAGGGGTTATGCAGGAGGCAGCTGGTCAATGATTCCCTCTCATCATTCATGTTTCTCTCTCTCTCTCTCTCTCTCTCTCTCTCTCTCTACCTTTCTGAAATCAATAAAAATATATTTAAAAAAAGAAAAGATGTTTCAAGCCGGCCATTGGCTATGTGTGAGTGATTGCATTTCCTGGGGGGAGGTGTTTGCTTTTTCTGGTTCCCAGGATGAACAGGTATCCCTGCGACAACCCTCACCTGGCAGAACTCTAACGTAATACCCCCCGCAGCAGTGGTGGTCTGGCTGTGCCTGTTGGATGCGGCCGCCACAACACACTCCTGTTGAATTCAGAACCAAAGGGATATACTTCTCATCACAGCAGTGGTGTCCGGGCTGGGCCTCATGGAGCACGCCGGCACAGCAAACCTGAAGGTTGGGAGCCGGGTTTAAAGGAATATCAGTTAATTAAGACTATTATACCACCATATCTCTTGCGACATAATCATTTTCTAACAGACAGTGCTAGGAGACCAAATACAGCATATGTTTGATAAAAATTCAAACACTGAAACACACATTTCCCCAGCATCATTCGGGTCCTAAATGCTAGTTTAGAGGTCCCCAAACTATGGCCCGCGGGCCACATGCAAATACAAATATTGTATTTGTTCCCGTTTTGTTTTTTTACTTCAAAATAAGATATGTGCAGTGTGCATAGGAATTTGTTCATAGTTTTTTTTTAAACTATAGTCTGGCCCTCCAACGGTCTGAGGGACAGTGAACTGGCCCCCTGTTTAAAAAGTTTGAGGATCCCTGTGCTAGTTGATATAATGTAACTTCTTAGCCTTCAACCATGCTCTGTGCTCTATTAGAATATTCCATAAACATGAATGACATTTTGAATGTCAATGCTTCCAATGGAAAGATGATTTAGAATTATAAATGAACAATTTCCTTCATGTATATGTTTTTATTTTAATGGTTGTTTATTTTAATTCCACATCTATGGAAACCTGATTCTCACTGATCTTTGCTTTTCTTTTGTTAAAAAAATGGCATTTTTCTTATAATTATTATGACCACGTATTTATGAACCCAATCTTCAGACAAGGGGATCTTAAAAGAGTTCAACATTTACATATATAGTATACGCACACACATATATGTATATATATGTGTGTGTGTATATATATGTGTCACATTAAAAAGAGAACATCTCTATGGAAATTAATTTCGACAAGCCCTTTAACCATGTGTGTTTTCTCCAGGAGCTGTGGAAGGAATTATGTGCTTGAACAATCAAATAATTATCTGCATGCACTGGAGGTCTGAGAAACGGATACTCTATGTAGAACAGATGAAACCCTGAGCTGCTGCTGAAGTGTCGCCTCAGAATCTATACTTGGCACGTGATGTGAACTAGATAGAGCCTTCCTGTGACAGCCGAATCCACCACTATTTACAACGTGTTTCCTTCCCTTTTGCTCACTGCTTCTTGTAAGCTTGTGCCAACCTTTGACTCAAGCTCAATACGGGAGCAGAAGAAGGTGGGGTCTCCCAGTCTTCCAAAGGGCCACTAGCTTAGTACTTCATTCATTTTGGAAAAGTTCCGAAAGAGCAAATAAATTTAAAGTCTTAAATTCAGCCTATCCCTATGGGGGTTCAGGTAGCTCTGAGAATCCAACTGCACAACTAGTAGCCTGAAATGATGTAAAACTTAGTCGTGACAATTTTGGAGACTGAGCACAAAAAAAGGTTAGTTTGTAACAAACAGCTAGTTTTATAACCTTTCTTAGATGATGACTACTTAGCCATTGTCAGCTTAGTAATTTGTGTTTTACCCATACTGCTGCCAAAACTCACGTTCTTAATTATTGCACCCTTTTGCAGTGAATCTTTTGGATGTAGTAGTTACTTCTGTCATTAAAGGGGCGATGCTGCTGATAAATAGGAACGCTCTTTCATTCTACCTTCAAACTGAGAATTTTCTGCATCGTTTGTCAATAAAGGCCATTTACAAACTCCTCCGTCTGGCTGTGCTATTGATCTGATTCCTAAACTGCAACTAACAGGAACATTAATCTGCAAATGGCCATAATTTTAAAATATTTCTGACAAACCTTGAAAGGCCCTGCTCACAGTGACTCATCAGTGTCATGTAAACAAACACCCACTTGTCGCTGAATGGATTTGTTGTACCAAAAAAAAAAAAAATTCAAGTCACTCCATCAAATACACATTCAGGAGGATCCTTACTATTTCAATAAACTAATATTTCCTGGGGAGACGATGAAAAATGAGAAGGCTACAGTGCTCGTGAGGACGGCAGGGTTCTGATAAGCATCCTTTCTCTGCCGTGGGGTCTCTTGATAGACTGGGGGAAATACCGATCATGACAAATCATGGCTTAAGAAGCAAGTGACTCCACCTGGAGTGTTCGGTGGGAAAAAGAGATTACACGGACGGGCTTGAAGAGGTTTACCTTAGCCTCAGGATCATAGCACTTGTGTCCACAGGTAGTTTCAGGCTTTTGACACGGCACTGCCTTGCAGAGCTCACTGCTGTGAGCTTTCAGGGTCTCAGGGCATGGGGACCATGATTTGCGTAAGACATCATATCCCAGAATGAGGCCATTTGGCTTCCCTGGGGACGTCCAATCAATCTGAAGGGATCTGTAACAGAGAAAATAATTAATATTTCCGCAAAGACAACATTTACCATTGCTGCTGTCAACCTCATGTACTTTTCAATTTATCTTCCAGGTTGTTCTAAAGGTTTACATCTGTTAACTTCCTAATCAAAAAGCTGCAGCAAGAGAGTATGTATATGTTAACATATATACTCATATATGCTACTACCATATCACATTTTTGGAGAATCAATAAAAACTTTATTTTAATATATTTTTATTGACTTCAGAGAGGAAGGGAAAGGGAAAGAGAGATACAAACATCAATGATGAGAGATAGTCATTGATTGGCTGCCTCCTGCACGCCCCCCACTGGGGATCAAGCCCCCCAACCTGGGCATGTACCCTGACCAGGAATCTAATCTGTGACCTCCTGGTAACAAAAATTTTTTGTTCTTATTGTTTTCTTAAAGGGTGGAATGCTGACATTCAAAATTAACTCTATTTGTGCAGTTGTAGAATTTCCAATCATAACAATTTACTAATTCCATTGATGTTTCTATCTCTCTGTTCCTCTCTGAAATCAATAAAAATGTTTTTTAAAAAGAGCATCTGAGTTTATTAGTTCGTATCTTTAAAGATCTTACACTAAAATCTTACGAATAACTGTTAGTCACTTTTCTGTCATTGTGTAAAATAAATATTTTTGTCATATTTTTCATTTTAAGGAGAAATGTATCATTACAGACCAAATTACTGGACCCTATCAGGAATTCAATTAAGCCCAAACATTTACATTAAAAAGCAGCAATCATGATAAACCTTGACATCTTAATAGACTGCTTTTAAAGAAAAGAAAGTTGTTATTTCATTTTTGAGGGCACAAACATAACACATTCACTAATGTCACGTGTAAGAGCACAGTTTCATAGGTGACTTGTATAGCCACCATTCTTATTCTGTGGTCTTTGTCCAACTCCCAGAATTCATTTCCCATTTTGAAGATACCTCTTTTGTATTCACTGCATAACCAACGACAGAAAAGACTTTGTGTAAGTGACATTCCAGGGTCTGACTTATCCACAAAAGCCAGTGAATCAGTGAAGTCCAGAAAACACGTGTAGAACACCATGCCATCATACTTGTCTTCCTTGCACAGCGTAACTGAAATGAGACCACCTCTATTTTTAGCAGTGCCATGAACAGTTCTGCTTTTGAGGATCTGAGTCAGGTACAGGAAGATAAATGATCGAGGAGTCATGGGTTCAACCCCTCCACGTTTCTCATTAGAAGCAATGAGGGCGATATTGAGAGATCTTTTTGGGTGACAATTTGAAATGGAGGAAGGACATCTCTGAGATTCTGTTGAGGACACCCCCCAATTAAAGAGTGGATTTGGAAGGGAACCAATGAAAGGAACCAATGGAAGGAACCAATGCGTGTTCAGAGAGCTGGGGATCGAAGTTAATTAGAAGGGAGAACTGGATTTTGCTGAGAGTTGCACAAAGGCGACCTCAGTCATTGAGCTTCTTCTATAGGAGCCACAGAAGGCAGAGAAATCAGGAGTTTGGAAGAGAGGCAGGTGAATAAAAGGAATTCGTGGTGCAAGAGACCCAAGAATGAGCTCAATACTCTGTTACGTCTCCTCACCAAGCAATGAGTTTGACCATCAGAACTCATTGGCCATCACAACAATAAAATTTCCTCAAAGCTATTATGACTATTGATTTCATCTGTACAATAATACAAAACACCCTCCATGTTGTCTCTCTCAAGAGTTCTTCCCACACCCTTTCAAGAACTGAGCATAAAATTCCAGTCCAAATTAAAAGCCATCTGCCATTGTCCACATTGCTGAGAGAGGATATTGACAATATGGGTAAAGGAGGAGTGATTGGACATTCTACACCTACAGACTGATATTCTGCTTATTAAGAAAAGAAAAAGAAAGAAGAGAAGAGGTGGATTAATTTTTTTAACTGTAAAATTTTAAATTCAGCATTCAAGTTGCCAGTCCCTAAAAAAATCAGGGAGGAAAATTAAGGATACGGGAGATTCCTTGATATCCCATGTCATGAAAATATAGAGGTTTCAAAGTTTCACCTCAATTTTGGTGAGGCAAAAAGGGGAAGAATCTTCTTCCACAAGCTAAGACTCTCATGCCTTATTCAACCCCGCACTAAGTACCTGGGACATACAGGGGGGATTTGTAAATGAGGGCAGGTGTTCAACCTTCATTTGGAGGCACCCAGGCTGAGCTGCTACCAGAAAGACGCCTGCAAAGTTGGTGTGTAAAACTATCATTTATATCATTCAGTAGCTCGAGGCAAATTTTTAAACAATTATTTGTGAATGCTACAAAGACATTACACCCCAGACTTCTCATCAATAATACAGCCCCGAACTGATGTGGAACTGGGGGAGACACTGCCACGGTTCCAATTAGAGGCAGCCAGAGACGCAACCTGCCTTCTCTCTCCTCTCCCTTGAGCCTCGTGCCGGGAAATCATGCATTTTGAAACACGAGCAGTAATGTAGTAAAATCTCTTCCTTGTTTCTGCTTTTCCTTATCGGATGCATTCGTGGAGCATAAATAAGTAAACGTCAGAGGCAGCCCGGTGCCGAGGGAAGCTGTCGGCTACAGCGCTTGTCATATTTCAATCAAAGCCAGAGCTGGTCAGCTCTCTTCATCCAAAGCGGTGTCTACCCTCACCGCTTTGGACCAGAATTAATGAATCAGCTATTGATTAAATTCCACTCTAACCAACCCACCAAGGCAAATAAATAAATGAACTACCCAGGGCACGTGTAGGCCATGGCCAGACATGTCCGGGCTATTGATCAGTAGTTAGTATTCTTTGGGGATCCAGAAGCTGCTGATGACAATATGACAAGTATGGAAAATGTGACACAGACACAGTGTGTTTCTGGAGGAGGAGGCTAGAGAATGAGTAGGGTTCATCTGATCTTTACGTGTGTGCGAAGGCATCTTTGGTTTACATGTAAGAGGAAAACACGTGTAAGTGCTTGAACTGAAGAAGTTGTTGTCAAAAGCCAGGTGTGAAAGGCCAAAGGCAAAGATCACACGCCCCGGATGTGCAATCTGACAGGCTGACGTGCTATTAAAATTTCACTGAGCGGTTTTCCTATCAAAGTGTAGAGTGAAGGAATATTTCAACATGAACTCTGTTATCTCTTGACTGTGGTAGTATTTACACAACTCTACCCATTTGTCAAAACTCATAGAAGCTGGAGCAAAGAAAGAGTACATCTTACTCTGTGTAAATTAAAAATAGATTGTAAAATTCAAGAGAATAATAAAAAATAAGTAAGCAAATGCAGGAAACCCGGGATCTTTCCAGATGCTGCATTCATTGTTGGCACTAGGGGGTTCTCCTCGCATCCTTGTCAGTTTTTAACTTTTTCTCTTCACAAAGTCTCAAACTGCTTTTATTCTCAGCCCAAATGTAAGTGACATTTGATTGAGTATGGAATGAGAAGATGAAATATATCGGTTTCTTTTTAGTTCAGAATTTGGAGGCATTGCATTTTGGCCAGGAATGCTGCTGTTTAGAAGATGGACAATGCTATTCAAACTCCAATGCTCTGTGTTATCTTGCAGGAAACTGGATCTGGAAATTTCCTGACAATGTCCCTTTATGGGGCTCTTTTTAAAATATTTATATATATATATATATATATTTTTTTTTTTACAAAGAATAAGGGAAAGGGAGAGTTAAAAACATTGATGAGAGAGAAACATCCATCAGCTGCCTCCTGCACACCCCCTACTGGGGATGTGCCCACAACCAAGGTACATGCCCTTGACCGGAATTAAACCTGGGACCCTTCAGTCTGCAGGCCGACGCTCTATCCACTGAGCCAAACCGGTTAGGGTGGGGTTCTTTTTTATGTGGCTCTTTTTTCAGCGGTTATGCTGGTATCTACAGACTCTTCATCTGCACGCTGGTGTGTTTAGTTCTGGGATATTTTCTTATCATTTACTTTCCCCCCCTCTTTCCTGCTCTCTCTTCTGGAACTCTTATTATCCACATACTAGATATTCTGGAGATTTTTTTCCTAATTTCCTCAATAATTACTTTCTTTTTCTTGACATCTTTGCTTTTTATTGCACTTTTAGAGACTTTCCTGTTTCTTCCAAAAATTTAATTTAGCTGTTCCATTTTTAATTTTCATGAGGTCCTCTCCCCAATTTTCTCTTTATTTTTTTTATCCAAGTAAATTTTGTTTGTTCCATAGATAATCTTTTTTTTATCTCTTTGAGGCTAATATAATTTTTTCTTACTTAGCATCACCTCTGCATCTATTGAATTATTTCTCTTCTTTTATTTTGGTTCTTTTAATCTTTGACAGCCATGTTCCAAAAAAGCTGACCCAAAGCTTTATGTATGAGTGGGGTTTGCTGATAGATATACTTCCCTATGAATGTCTCTTCCATTAGGGGATCCCACCTGCAAAATTCTGGAAATATTTCATTTGGGGCCATGCAAGTTATTCTAGAGAAGAATGTCCAATTTCCTGTCAGGGCATTTATGACTAGATACTTGTTTTTAAGGATAGAGCTGGGGAAGGCAGCCATAGTCTTCCTCTTTATCAAGATTTTCACCTTGGCCTCTCCTCCCAGCTTTCCACTGTTCTTTATTCTCTAGAGAATACACTTCTGATCAGGAGCCCTGAACCTGAAGCACCTCTGTTCTTTATTCTCTAGAGAATACACTTCTGACCTTTGGGAGGTGGACTATGCCACATGGAGGAAGAGAAACCGACACCTGGGTGCATAATATAGAGGTCGAAACCTTGAATTCTGTGATGGTTAATTTTATATATCAATTTGCCTGGGCCACAAGGTACCACGATATTTGGCTACACCATATTTCTGGGTATTTCAGGTTGTTTCTGGCGAGATTAGCATCTGAATTGGTGGATTCCTTAAAGAAGGTAGCTCTCCTCAAGTCGGTGGGCATCAGTCAGAGGAGGGTCTGGACAGAACAAAAAGGTGGAGGAAGGGAAAATTCCCTCCATCTGCTCAACCCCTTGAGCTAAGCCATCAGTTCTCCACTCCCAGGCCTGGGCTAGGATTTCCACCATCAGCTCCTCCGAGTCTCAAAACCTCTGGACTTGAACTTGGTCCAAAGCTTTCCCGAGTCTTCACTTTTGGTTTTGTTTCTCTGGAGAACCCAGAGTAATTATAGTTTCCAACCACTTTTTCATCAGAGTTTCAGCTAATCCCAGGATTTTCGCTTTCACCCTTATCCCAGCTTCCCCGTCTTCACAAGCCTCAAAGCTTGCAAGACCTCAGACACTAGGGTTCCCTGCAGTGCAAATGAGCTTGTTTTATGTCATTATCCCCCTCTGCCAACCAACATTTTGGTTGTCTATTTCTCCACTGAACAACCATTTGCCTCTCCCTGCCAAGCACTGCTTCCAGAATTGTGTCCAAATCTCTCTTCTGTTATCTGCGCTGTCATTTTCCTTGCTCGGTTCTTTAATATCCTCCCTAATGTTTTTGCCATCAATTTAATATATTTGGGGATAAGCAATCATCAACCACAACTACAAAATATTTTCCCTCAGTTATCATCTGCAAGAATCTCCTTAAAGGAAAGAAAATATTCTAGAGACAGAGACACATATGGGCATTTGTTAAATTTCTAATAAAGCTTATATATTATGTTTAGTTACACATAATATGTAATCTAAGCTATACTCCCTTGTGCCATTCACCTGGGTTTGAGTCATGGGGATGCTAACAGGCTAGGAATTTGACAATCTTCCCTGCCCCCCTCAATCTTCCATGATGCCTTTACTGGTGATCAGGGGTAGAGTTTGGTATTTTCTCTTTATGCATTTCTTGCACATTGTGAATTTCTGTTGCGGGTTTTCACATTGTCCTAAAAACATTTCTTTAGCACAGTGTCTCCCACAGTAGGCGGGAACTGTGAAAATTTAGAACCATGCCTTATTCTTCTTTGTATTACTTTTGCCTCTTTCATGACTGTAGCCACAGATGTGTTTGCTGAAAGAATAAAGGTCTCCGGAGTCCCTTTCACTTGGCCATTTCCCCCCTGGATAGTAAGCAATCCTCTGGAAAGTTGGGGGAAATCTGCTGAGGAGGTTATCACTTAATTAACACACCACCAATCAGATAGATATCTCTCATGTGTTTGAGAGAAGCTGTGCCTTAGGAAGGAACGATATGACTTTGCCCTGAACAGCTAAGAACCCAATTACCTGGGTTTTTCTAATTGCTTTTAATCACTTGTCCCCCAAATTAGTACAGGCATTTTTTTTAACTTATTTTTAAAAAGACCTAAAAATTTTAATATGACATAAAGGAATCCTTCAGAACTGAAATATGTTAGAATCGATTGATTATTTTAGTCAGTGTATGTGTATGTGGTGTGTGTATGTGTGTGTGTGTGTGTGTGTGAAGGGTGATTCATTTGGCTGGAGCAAAAGTAGGTTTATAGTTGTTCATATGAAAAATAATACAATAATGAACAAATAATAATACAAGAATAAATTCTGTGTTTTGCATACTCATAATTGTAAGTGTACTTTTGCCTACCCCTGTATGATGTGAAAAGTGCCCAGACTTCTATCTCTAGTCTCCACTTGATATAGAGCAGTGGTTCTCAACCTTGGCTGCACATTAGAATCACCTGGGAATCTTTTTAAAATCCTGATTTCTGGGCCTCATCCTCCGGAAATTCTGTTTCTTTGTTATGGGGTGGGGCCACAACATTATTAACAAAGAAACAGAATTTCCGGAGGATGGGGCCCAGAAATCAGGATTTTAAAAAGATCCCCAGGTGATTCTAATGTGCAGCCAGGGTTGAGAACCACTGGTTTAGAGGAAGAGAATGGAGACTAGCAGCTGAGAAAATGCCAAATCATGTTAAATCTCCTTTTTAGTATTGTTGTTATTGCTAATTTTGAATTGAAAAGAGACGCACTTTCAACTTATGGCCATTTCTCAACAACAAAAGCCTACAAAAAAAATAAAAGGATTCTACCCCAAACCTGATAAAATTGGTAATGGTTATCCAAACATTATCTCCCCCATTTATTTTACAGATATTTGTAGCTTTGGGGCAATCTGATAGATGGAAGTCTAATATTTTCAAAGAGATTCAGTCAGAAAGGGAGTCATTCTAATTAAAATTGCGTTCCGTGTCTCACAAAACGATTCACTGAAGGACACATTGAAATAAAGACACTCTTTCATGCTCTCAGCGTTTGTTCACAGGTTACTAAATAAAGAGAAGTGAAGCTGGGCAAACAGGGACAGGGCCATCAAAGCTTCAATGTCATGGGACGTGTCCAGTGAAGATCAACCAAATAATGTCAAAAATTCACTCTACACACACACTGATAGCAACTTCTCAAATGACATTGTCATGGCTGGGATAATATCTTATATTTTGATTTTCATTGTTTTTGTTCAGTTCTTTAGATTGAGTGACAAAAAACATGTATACCTCGAAGTGATGTTGTGAATTGTGGGCGCTGGCATATCGCTTGGAGTGTCTTCCATGGTGGTGACCTGGGTTCCATTGCTTTTCACACAGGCATATTTTGTGCAGACTTCGACCTGCAAATAGTAATTGAGAAAAGCATGGATCCAATTATTTTCAAAATCCAGACTGTCAATGACTGAATCTCACCCACCTTCATGTCATATGAATCTCTTAACAGCCTGTCGGGGTTAATTAAATATTAATTTTTGGTGTTAATTGACTCCAGTGGGACAAGTCATAGAGTGCAAGAATAGAGTGCAGAAGTGGGCTCAGGACAATTGATTTAGTGACTTAAATGGTGATGTGTAGTCCCTCCTCCCAACCATTCGGAAAGAGACAGACATATCGATCTATTCGGAGCCCAGGTAAGGGATGGAAGATGCCTAGGGGACAGTTTCAAGCATAATAGTCATCACTGTGTACTGCTCTCAGAGCCATAACCAGGTAGTATAATAATGGTACCTTCTGGGAGTCTTGACACTTTCCAACACATGGCCTAAATGCGAATGTCTAATAAAAAATAAAAAAACCACCCAAGACCTAGAGAAGTTTTCCAATATGGCTGAGTTCTTTTATATCCATTTGATCCAGTATTTTTACCTTAATCCCAGTAGAAACTCATCATTTACTTTTTAAATTCTTCCCCCGCAGCTGAATAAAAACCGAGGAGGGTTTAAAAATTGGGTTCATCAAGCATTATTAAAACAAAAGAACACGTTCAGCAAGAGGAGGAGAGAGAATTGAATGTACAAAAGATCGCGCCTGGAACATCCAAGAAATGACATCATTCTGTTCTCAATTCAAGGATAAACCAAAGAGGAACTAACTGTTCCTTTCCCAATGCTAACTGACTTCCATTCATTGATGCCACCGAGTATTTTGAGGTAATATCTAGTAGATATTTAAACACTATCAAGGCCGTCCAATTAAACCCCAAATCACCTCAAGGCAGATGAACTTAAAATATACCTGCTGGTAATGGAATTAATGACAATAAAACTTCATGCATATTAGGGAACATTTGACTCTGTGCATAATGAGGTAACTCCAAATCAACTCAACTGAATTTATTATGTAAATGATACGTGCCAAACGTTATGATGGGTACTTAGAGCAATAACTTCATTGAGTCCTCACAATTCCATTTTCATATGTTTGCAAACTGAGGGCCAGAGAAATCAGGGAATCTGACTGAGTTGGTAAGATAGGAGAAACCTTATTTGGGCTTTAATATACCCTATCGCCTTGTCATCTAAATATAAAGTATACCTTCAAGTTCTAAACAGCTT